AAAGAAAGAAAGAAAGAAAGAAAGAAAGAAAGAAGACAAAGGAAGTAAGGAAGGAAGATATAACTGTACTTATAAACCTGGTGCAAGTCCTTCTCAACACCATATAATTCCTAAATAATAATAATAAACATTTTTCTCGTAGCAGAGGAAAATTGCTGATAAATGGTTACAATAAATGATTGAAATCCTCACATCTTTGCTCATATCCGCATTACACTGTGATTTTAATTGTCTTTAAGGTTGTTAAATATTCATCACCACCATAAACTATTTTTTCAGTTTTTCTCTTTCTTTTTTTTGGAGGCTGAAATCTGTCCTGTGGCGTTGCTGTAAATCCCCCCCTGCGTGTGTCACTCAGGGGAGAATAATGGACTTGGCCTATGAAGCCTGGTTATTAGCCTATTATCTCCTACTTGGTGAACCAGATTTACTGCGTCACTGCATTTATCGGTCTGATGGTCAGGAGGAGGAAAAGGAGGACAACTGTGTTGATGCTTTATAGGCATCATTTATCATTTTATTTATTTATTTATTAAACCCGGAACACGTTAAAGACGTTTTCTTTGTTTGCCTCTCTCTTTCCGGGTCGGTTTTTTAAGCTTGTAGCGTGTAGTTTTGCAGTAACTCGAGTTTTAAATAATTTGTAGGGTGTAACATAATTTTCACAGTAGCTCTCTGTAATTTATATAGCCTTTCCTTTTATTATATTTTAAACGTGTTTTTAATTTTCCATTTATATGCGTGAATATTGGAATTTTGGCAGATTTCACACAAAGATGAGCGAAAGGCCGGGATTCAGGCCTGCGCGTGATGATACAGCCTGGGGGGAATTTTTTTCCAACACTCCGAAGCATCTATTTTTTTTAAAAATAAACATATATGTATATTAAAAAGTGAATTTATTGATTTGCATGCATGCAATAAAATCAGACCCAGGCCTACCTGTTTTGATGGCGTATTTCAATGTAGCGCGACAGCTGATCAAGATGTCGTCCAGAGTCGCAGGTTCGTCCTGCAGCTCCCAGTTGTTCATCTGAAGCAGCTCGTTCGGATAATGAAAATCAATAACTTTCGTTTCCCGGTCGAAAGACTCCACTATGTAGGCCAGTAAAATATCCACAACTTCCTGCAGGAAGGTCATCGTTTTGGTATCACCGTCCGTGGCCGGTAACAGGTCTGCGAGAGGGGGGTGGATGGATTACAGTGGAGACATTTTGTGATTTTTATTTGAGGACGGAGGAATGTGTGCAAAAAAAAAAATGCTCCCACGCAATATTAAGATTCACATTTACACGAGTCAAAGTTTTATTTATTTTTTTGTCTTTGAATTTTTCCTCCATACAAACAAATAAATATTTCATATTGTTTCCACGTCCGAACACTGATTCTGCTTTATACGAAAATCTCGTGTTTTGCGCTCAACACCTCAAAAAACACGATTCTGGTGAAGGTGACCTCTCGGAAATAGCCCCTCTCTGAGGAGAACAGACCAACATAACTCCTCTCTCAGAATGTGGTGAAGATGAAAATGATGGACAAAACTATTCATCCAATACACAATGTGTTATTTTATAAATTGAGGTTAAAGCGGATAACTTCAGCCAAACATTTCTCAGGAGTTTGTGCGATCAGATGCAAATATTTGAGAAGCATTTTGAGATTATTTCCTTTTATAGTTAAGATGATTATATACAAACATTGCATAAAAACAATGTCTATTTTCTAGCCTACTTCGCACAGTGAAAGCTGCTCAATGCAAAGCCAAGTCTGGACTCGGAGAAGAAAATAAATCTTAAAATTAATCCAGCTTCACAGTGCACTTTCGTACCTGTTGAATAGAGGTCGGAGAAGCCCACAGCAGCTTTGGTGCAGTTGCAGGATTTGTTGCAGCCGCAGGTTCCTGCAGCCGTCTCTGGCGGCTGCTTGGCGCCCGGCTCGGCGGCTTTCTCCACCTCCCCGACATTTAGCAGCGCTTTGGAAACCCACAAAAATAGCATAGAAATATATATTTTTATTACTCTAGGGCCAGACAGTTATGATGGAAATAGCTGGCACGTTTGCCTAAAAATAGCTTCCCCTCCGTCTCCACCCCCACCCCCGCTCCTTCCCCAACATACCACATAATTTCGATCCAATTCCTCCGGATAATTTCTGGGCCGCTGCTTGGCACCAAGCCCTGGCTGAAAGAGAGAAGTGGGATAAATCAGATAAGGGATGTGCTGGCTTCAGCTTCAGTCCAAGTTTAGGGAAACACAAAAGGCGCCATGCAACTTGAAATAAAACAGCTCTTTAGATACACGAAAAATGTCTCATGTGGAGAAAAAGAAGAAAGAAAGAAGCAAAAAAAAAGAAAGAAAAGAAAGCAGGATTGTTGCCTATTATAAGGCCTGTCTGGTGGTTCGGTGAATGCAGGGCACTGGCTTGAGACAACGCTCAGGAATTACTGCGCCCGGTCCATCAGGAGGTGGTTTGAAGACAAAAAGCCACTCACGCGTACTCGGGCTCTGACTCCCGGTATTGGCCCCAGCATTATCTCCGCCAAGAGACCAGAACCCGTGTGATGCCATTGTTGCCGGTAGTTAGGAGCTGCAGGAGGCGCGGAGACCGACAGAGCCCATCCACACGCGACGACCGGGAGCTGTTCAGAGCCGATGTGGTGCTGAATCTGACCAGACCTTTCAGACTGCTTGAAATCCAGCCGTGCATCCGACAGACGCTTTAATTCGCTGGAAAGACACTACAAATAAACCGACCCTCGTATGTGCGTGTGTGAGCGTGGGGTGGGTAAAAAAAAATAAAAGAAATCACAAAAGGCGTCCTCGCTTCCTCCTTTGCAGGCGTCCACAGGTGCACGAAGCATGAAGCGCCGTGTCCAGAAAGAAATCCGCAAACACTTGACCGGCGCAGAGCAGCCACGCTCTTTACTTAATAGGGGGGAAAATGCAATACAGCGCAAGATAGTTTGCGCAAGTTCCGGATGTAGTGAAATGTCTTTTGATGCAAAGCTGCTACATTATATAAAAAATGACTCAGAGAAAAACAATAAGCAAAAAGAAAATGGTGATGAAAATGGTGGAGGGGGAAAAAGCAGCTATGAGGCTACAGCTGCTGGTAAATATGCGGCGCACAAGCCATGCCTAATTGCAGCCAACCTAAATTTCACGTCACTAAAGCAATCCCGTGGTGATTCACTTCAGGTCATGACGAGCCGCGCTGCGTCGTGCGTCGTGACTCCATACATCCCCGACATTTTTGGCCCCCTGCGCACAGAACTTACCCTCCATACAGACACTGAACGCCAACTAATTCATCTGCCCAGCAATCGCAGACCTATTTTTTCAGACCTCTAATTGCCCGCCTCCGGTGGAGGAGACAGCGAGGCGGAGAGGGGACTCGGTTCAAATGCACAGAGTGTTCGTGGGTCCCTCCTCTCTCCGCTCACTCCAGGGGCGCGTTACTCCGAAAATATTTATTACTGAGAGAGGGGCTTGCTTTACTTTCTTTACTCACAAAGTGTTTTTTTTTGTCTGATTTTGAGACACCCCCCCTCCACCCACCCCATCCAAAATAAAGTTAAGCCGTTAAATCTGTAGTTTAACTGCGTCAAAATATCCGGATACAAGGAGGAAAACAAATGGGAATAGTTAAAAACAATATTAACTCTGTTTTTCTTTGCTCTGGTATTGTGTTGTGAAGCAGTGTGTGTTTGTCTGCAAAGGTGCTACAGAAATAACATTTTATGTTACTTACAATATCTAGTTACAAATCACCACGTGGAAGTCCAACACTGTCACCTTCTGTCTCCACGAATTAGTGTAAATTAACCCTGCAGGCATCAAAGCGACACTGAGCCTCATCTGCAGTGATTTATAAATGCACTGGTCAACAGTTATCTAATACCCAAAAAGCCTCATTAACATAAACTGAACCCTTTAAAAAAAAAAAAAAAATTATATAATATATATACACACACACACACACACACACACACACACACACACAGTGTATTATGAGATCACTCTATTGTGTCATTTCCGAGCTTTTTTTCTTTGTTCAAACTTGGTGTAACATTTTGTAATATTTCTTTATTTTAAATAATTTGTCTGTGAATCCTGTGTGTGGAGGAAGCTGTAACAGTTTTTCTTCCGTAGTCTGCATTTTGTCAGGATTTCTTCAGCCCTACGTGTTTTTGTGCCACTGTGCACTGTGTGCAGTCAGCATGTAGCTGGGGATTCACTAACAGCCCCCAAGGGGGGCTTCTCTTTCAAAAATGTCACATAAAGGTCAGAGGTTGAATCTGGCATCAATATTCAAATAAATACATAAATAAAAAACATTCTGTCCTTCTTACTTTTCCACCAAATATTCACAAGAATCAAAGGCTGTCATTTGAGTGAATGCTATTTCAAATGTAGTGATTATTGCGCACAAAGCAACAATAACGCGGGATGGAGGATAATGCGAGGAATTGATGTACTTTATACACACAGGCAATGAAACACTGAATGTCTTTGCATTTTTCCTTCTACGTTATTCATTTTGCACGGTTATGACAAGTTTGCGATTTCGGCTAATTTGAGAGCAGCGAACTAAAAATAATGAAATGGGACGAGGAATTTAATATATTTTTTTGTTTAATTGAACAAACTGAACATTTGAGCAGATAAAATAATGTACATTCTTCACAATATGAAGCTGATTAGTCTTCAGAATGACTTGAAATGCAAAGTTTTAAGAGCACAACCTGCAAATTTTTTGAAAGAAAATAAAGATATCGAAGAAAAAACATTGGAAATACAGAATACCAGTAACTAAACTGTTGGTCTCATAAATAAAACCTTATTTTACAGCAAGTTTAAAAGTATGACATCTTGTTATTTACATTGACTGTACTCTGTGTTCACTGTATGCATGGAAATCAATACAGTCTGTCCAGTTAAGTCCAGAGGAGTTTCATTTCCTACCCAAACTGTTGTACAATGTGTCTGAAGATCAATAAAATAAATGAAACATGTGCTGTGGTTAGCAGGACACCAGAACAAACTGCCACATGGTGCGATCAGCGATCCCGACTGATCAAGTCCCGAATAGCCAAAAGTCACTTCCTGTATTCAGTAATGTTTGATCAGCCTTTGTCTCTGCGAGGTCTTCCTCAGTAGATGTCTGAAGTCGTATGGATTCTCTTCAGTCCGGCTCTCTGTGGAGGCCATTCTGGGAACAGAGCGTCTGTCGATTACACAAAGGAGACAAATTTCAGCACAAGTAGATAAAAACAGAAATGTTGAACACAAGGTAGGACGTGGGGATGTAAACAAACAAACAAACAAACAAACAAAATTAAATGGAAAGGAGATGAAAAGATTCATGTTCAGGGTTCAAGGTTTTCATACTGGTTATCATATTTGGGCCATTTATCATGAGCTGTCCAAGGGAGCGGCCAAGCTGAAGGGAAAATAGATTAAATTCATGTATGAATTTATCCTTCGAGCAAGTAAAAACTAAAATTCAAAAACCAGACTCATAAACAGAGGTGCTGGTACCTCACGAGTCCTATTATGGAATAAGGATGTGGCCAGACTAAAACTACAAATCAAGTAGCTGATTTGTAGTCCTGATCTGAAGAATCTTTAATAATATCTTTTAGTGACAGGCAGCAGAATAGCGCTGAAAAATAAAAGACAGTTGAAGTGCCAAAAGCTGCAGTTCCTCAAACAGCCACTTGAGGCAGACTGCAGTAAACTCATGTTAAACTGAACAACTTTCTGTAAAAATAAACATGTTTACAGCCCAGTTGTTGGCTCTGCAGATAATTTACCTCTTCACAAAAACTTTATTGTGGAGTGAAATTTTTATTATGAATCAGCAAATTAAATTTAGTCAAGGCTTAAAACTATGCATTATTATGGGTGAGACTGGTTTGAGTGACAGGTGGATGCAGGCTAGGCTGCTAATCTGTCTGCTAGGCTTCACCTCAGCTAATTTAAGTCACTGAACTGGAAGTCTTGACTGTGTTTGTGGTGTTTCTGCCTTTTGTAGCCTTTATGATGAAATTATTTGACCAGCTAAGTGATACAAACTCTCCAAGTCTACGCTTGTGATGAGTTAAAGTCTGGTATTTTATTTGCATGTTACAAAGCACTAATTAGTTGATATCTGTGCACTGTGCCTATACATTCAAGCACAACGTTAGAATTAAAGACAAGAGACAACTACATCACTATTTGTGAAGGAATTTCAGAATTTCTGTCTTATATCTGTGAGGTTCTGACTGGACTATGAATATAAGTAATTTATGCGAACGTCTGTTGAATGTGTAGACTGCAACAGATTAGCAACGAATGACAGCAATTGTCCTTATTATCATAAACACACTGCGTGTAATTATTTACTTGACCTTATTTAGCAGACTGACTTCATCTTATTGCCATTTGATTACCAACTTTAAAGCAGCAAAGTCACTTTGAAGAAAACAATTGACTGAGTTTTCATAGACTTGCTGTGAAGACTTTCAAAACTACAAAGTTTACTGTACACAGTTGCAATAAAATTGTAGCATGCCATGGTCTCTAACCACTATTGTCCTTACTGTAACTATAGCCTTACCAGCTAGCCAACATTAGCTGCTAGCTTAGTACTCCAGCCTCATTAAAATACGATCAGATCTGTCTCTTAAATCCAAGATGCTTCAGAAGTGGTTTCAGTGGGTGATATCATGGTGAGAACTTCCATCTTTCATATACAGCCTGTATAGCTTTGTCTTATTATGGTCATGTAGATAATGCTTTTCCCTCTTTCTGTAAACTAAGGTCTGACTTTACAAATCATCCAAATTCACTGAGATTACATTTATTTTTAAACAGTAGCAACAGTAGTATCATTATTATACTGAAGTAGAAACGTAACAAATTCAGTTAGCAAACATTAACAATGTAACTTGTGACTATATTTGTGAATCAGTAAAGCTGAACTGTAATAAATTGTACGTGCAGACGGTAACAAAGCGGTCAGCTGGACAAAAATCCTGAAGGCCATTACCTATCTTTCATCTGTTTCACATAATGCGAGTCGATGGAAATGATGACGAGATGGTTGGAAAAACAATCCCAAAAATGTCATAATGGGACCTCGTGGTTGGTATTGACAAAGATTAAAATGGCATCATAAAAAGTGGAAACTGATTTCCAGCTTAAAAGTGGTTCCACCTTGTTGAAGCTTATTGATGGTGCTGATTACAACATAGCTGATAGTTATCTCGGATGATCTGATATCCTCGTGTTGGTGTTGTTCCCAGACCATCATGAAAATGTTGTTCCAGGTTCAACATTGCAAGTGACCAATCACAATGTTGTGACGTTATTCTTTTGCGCGCCAAGCCATTCGTGCATTTATGAAATTCCAATGTTGCAAGGACAATATCAATTCTGCTTACTGTTTATTAAAGGGTTACGGTTAGGGTTAGGGTCCGTTGATCGGCGGACAGAGGCGGTTTCTCCCAGCTTAAGTACAGTTTTTTGTTTTACGCCGGTTTTTCCCGAAGTCGCAAAAGTATGACGTCACAACATTCTGATTGGTCACTTGCAATGTTGATCCTGGAACAACATTTAGTATGATGATCTGGGAACAACACCAACACGAGGATATCAGATCGTGCAGTTATCTCTCAGGTGCTTTGAATGGGGTTGGTTCAGTGTTAAAGCAGAAACAAGTAATTAATGCAGTCATGCACAGTTTCACAAAAATACAGGGACACTTTATAGGACATGTACTTATTGCCAGAGACACTATGAAGAGGACATAAATGACACACCTGTTTTCTTTGGCAGATTTGGGACGCTCTGGTTCAGTGGCGGCCCTCTCTCGGATCTGTCGACTGGGAGCAGTCAGTCTCTGCTCTACAGACTGCCTCCTGTCCCCAAACTGCCTTCTATCCATAGATCGTCTCCTGTCCATGGACTGCTTCCTCTCTACGGACCGCCTCCTTTCCATTGACTGCCTCCTCCCTATAGATTGCTTCCTCTCAGGCATGGATGATGTGTTCTCTTTGGACATGGAGGGTTCAGAACGGCTGGTAGAGAGGGCTGGGTAGTAGTGGTCATCCACATCCAACAGTTTCCCTGAGCTACAGCAAAAATAAGAGGACGGGGTCAGACAGACATTAGAGTGTCATCAAACAGTCTTTAAACAGGTTCTCCGGATACAAATAGAGCACAGGTGTGACTGAAACCAGACACGAATGCTGTAAAAATCAATACAACGCATTTCTCATAAACACAATAACCTCAATAGTAGATTTTGATTGAAGTTAAGTGCTTTTCCTCTCGTTATGTTTTTCTTACTTTACGTTCAAATCTGATTATAAAGTCATTTGTTTAAGGTCAGATAAAACTCTATTCAAGTTTTTATTTTAAAATTAGGAGCAGGCGCAGGTTGGCTATATGGACTTCAATGCAGCTACCTCAGCAACTCTTTAAAGGGGACCATATGTGCTCATTTCATACTCAAATTTTTAATTTTGACTCGACTGAAGCTGCTCTGCATGAATCAGACTTCAAAAATAATACTTGTTTTTCTTATACTTGACTGTTGTGAAGCTCTTTTCTTCCTGTCTAAAACAAGTCAAAACATCTCCTTTAAGGCCACTCCCCTTTAGGCTAACTTTCCTTTGACTGGTTGCCCCTCATAAACCGAGGGTTTAGCTATTCTGCTCACACGCAGAGCTGTTGTTTTTTCTAACTTTCTTCGTCTATAAGCAGGTCTTTGAGATACTCATGATCTTCTGCTTTTTGTGATTTTTTTTCTTTTAGAAGCCACTAAATGCTGGCATCAATATAACTATTTCTTTATTGTAGAAAAGGAGAAAAAATATTTTCCCCAAGTTAATTCACCAGCTGATTTCACATCTTTAAAATTTGTCTCTGTGATAGCAGTGACTATAAAATTAACTGAGCAGCAGAAAGAAGACAAATCTTATTGAGAAGAGGATAATTATCAAGTCCTCATCATCCAGGTATCTGCTCACCAGACTGTGTAAACTGTCCATCTGCACTGTGCAGCCCTTCTCTCAGCCGTCACTTTGACCTCCATTTGAACAGAAGTGTGAAAAGGACAGTTTCAATGTGCAGATCAATATGTCTCACACATTGTTAACATAAGGTAATAACCACTATCAGAATATATAGTCAGTACAGCCAGTACACTGATCTCATTCTTACATTGTGATGTGTTTGAAGCTTGACCTGAACTTATCACTGTACTTTTAGAGGCGGGGTTGGCACACAATTATCCCACTGATGAATTACAATAAATGTGCTATTCTAAAGCTGAAATACATTCTTTCTCCTTGATTATAATTACCTCTCCTGTCCTCTAAACTATTAGCTCAATTATGTGATTGACACAGCACGGACAAAGAAAAACCACAATGACAATGGCTAGCACAAGATTTAGATCTATTATATAAGAGCTTTTAATTTTTTTAAAGTTTTTGTAGCACTAGATAATTCACAGAGGAATGCAGATGTTCAGTTTGTTTGTTAAGATGGCTCTGTGACAAAGACTTCAGGTTATAGCTGGTCGTGTTTTAACTAGCTGAAGTACTGCCATTCCCTACAACATCCACTGATTTTTCTTTTTTTATGCCATATACAACTCAAACATTACTAACACGACAACATAAATTGACTGAATATCTCAAGGCACCTGCCACATTGAACTAACCAGATATGGCACATTTAACAAGCCCTTCTGAACCCCTTATTGACCTTGGAGTGGCAGTGCATGAGTCTTATTCAGGCATACCAGATAAAGGTATACCTGGGTTGGGGGTCGGCTTAGGCCTGCCACTATTGGTAAAGTACAGCATATAGTCTTCACTGTTGTTTTATACTGCATCATCTCAATTTTTAACTTTGATTGTTCAGTAATCTAAAGCTCTGAAATCACTCTTCATTTTTTGTACTGGCTAATGAGCCAGGTCAGAAAATAAATGGGGGCTCGTCCGGGATCTTCTGGATTCTTCTGGGTTGACTAAACATTTGAGTTTCTTTGATAAGGTGAGAGAAGCTTTGAGGAGTGACTGAGCAAACTTTCTTTTCTTTTTTTTTTAAAGCTAGGTGGCTATTCTGCCATTTTACAAGGCCCTTAATCCAAAATAAAGAAGTGGCTTATAAGCTGGGTCAGAACAAAAAAGGGGGGCTTGTCTGGGATCTTTTGAATTCTTCTGGGTAGACTAAAAACTATTTTTTCTTTAATTTTTGGGAAGGTTGACTTTATATTTCTGCCTTTCTACACTCGATTTTACTCATATAATTTACATAGACATGAAGTACATACATGTATTACCACATTTCAGAGATTACTTTTAATTACTGTTGTCATTACTGATTTATGTAGCCATGCATGGCTTTAGGGACAGCAACAGCCACATATCACTCCAGACTGAAAGTGAAATTGTTTTAGACAAATGATTCATTTGATTCAAGTGAAGTACCTTGATATGCACACGGAAGCATTTTTGGATGACTTCCCAGCATTGTATGCTTGATGAGCAAGATGAATGCAACTTGTGGGGTATCTAATTTCAGACCAAAATCAACATGGTGGCTTTTTTTGTAAACATTCTCTTACACTGAGAAGTAAAGCTAATGAGGTAAGAAATAGCTAATGTCTAAATCTGGCCTCATTTTTGAACACAAAAGGTTAGCTCACAGTTAGCTTTTTATGAGTTGTCTGTGGTGTAGTGGTTAACACATTTGCCATTTACACAAAAGATCCTTGGTTTATTTCTGGCAAGAGATCCAACCGCAGTGTGTCATATGTTAGTGTAGTCCTGGAAAAAAGGGACGTTTGCTTCAGGAAGATGTGGTGTAAAATGTAAAATGTTATCACCCCTTGGGGAAAAAAGCAGATGGAAGACTATTTCATACCAACAAGAAGCAGGCAAATCTAAATGTCCTGAGTTCTAATAACTTAGATAACAACTTTTTTTTTTAAAAAATAGGGTTACAGGCCTTTTTAATGCTCTAAGCAAATATTACCAGAGATCAACATTTTAGTATTTAGCTTAAAGTAGCAATATATCATTAGCCACAAGCATACATTAACCTATAGCTGCAGACTTGTTTGAAATGTCCCAAATAATATGACAGAATTAATTATGCACTGAATGCACAACGATTACAGACATATTTTTGAAATGCAGTGTGGTGAGAAGCCTATAAGGTTTCATAAGCTTGAAACAGGCTGAATAACCAACCAACTTGTAGATTTCAGAGTTCTGATAGTGGTACTAAAATATAGATATCTGTGCTATGCAATCACACTTTCCCTCCCCATTTCTCATGTATTCACTCTCATTTACTATCATCACATCAGTATACTCTCCAGCTTTCTATCCCTACCACCCACGTTTTCCCATTTCCCAAGCCCAATTGCTGTCAGCTTCAGCCAGAGACACTATTGTTCCTGCTGACCTTCTCATCCTTAATGATGCATGTAAACTGCACCTGTCCATCGCTGACTTTATTTATTTGCTAACAAATTATTACCCTTGATGTCTAGCACTGTGTTGTATTGTGTGTGTCCACATCAAGGGGGCTCAGTGTGTGTGTGTGCATGTCTGTGTCTCCTCAGACTGCTGTGATAAAGTACCCAGGCCCCTGCTTGTTCAGCCAGCGCTATCGGTCCATCTTCAACCCCTCACTCTGTGCGGGATGCTCACCTTGTGGCCTGTACGGCACATACAGATGCATGACTGCACACATCCACAGATACTTTCTGGTTTCATTTTCTTTTCTTTAACAAAAATGCTGAAAACATTTACCAGTATATTCGAAACATGTCACATAATGCAGAAACCCACAGAACAACTCCTATAAATGATACCAAACCACCAATTTGGGATTCCTTACGTTACATTTCTCTAAGAATATGATATTCAGCCAATGTAAAGAGGTAAAAGATGAGGGCAATTAATTTAACTGTGGATGTGTGTATCACTGTGGATCATTAAGTTTGGACCTTATGCCCTTGCACTGTCCCTATGTTGGCACCAGGCTGTAGTAGTTACTATGGCCCAGGAGTAGCAAGCAAGGAGGCAGCATGCCAACCTCATAAAACAGTAGCTAATAGGTTGTTAAAATAAGAGTGGGACACTTACCCCTCTTTCCTGGGTTTGCGTTTATCATCTTGGACAGACCGCTGAATGAAGAGAGATGGAGAACTGATTATTAAATGTCAAACAGCCAACAGTAATATCTGGATGGATTTACCCACAAACACTCTATATTCATGGTTTCTAGATGACATATCTTGTTGTATAAGATGGTGACATATCATCTTATAGGAGAGCATTACCACTAATCACAATCAACTAATCTAGAGAAAAACACAACAATTTGGAAATAATGCGTTAAACTGAAGCATGATGGTCACTGATGTCTATGAGAGGCATTTCAGTCACTCAGTGAGAAACATCAGATAAAAGACCCCCACTAGCCAAACTGCACATTAATGCAAGTATCTAATCAGCCAATTTGATTGCACCATATAGACACAACCTGCTGAAGTCCATACTGATCATCGGAATGGTGAAGAAAGTAATTTAAGTGACTTTGAATGTGGCAGACTGGTCTGATTATTTCAGAAACTGCTGATCTGCTGGGATTTTCCCACACAACTATCAAGCAGGCAACAGTAACTCAAATACCCATTTGCTGCAATCAAGGTATGCAGAAGAGCATCTCTTAAAGCACAACATGTTGAAACTTGAAGAACATGGGCTACAGCAGCAGAAGAAAAAACATTTTCTGGTCTAATGATTTCTGATGAATTATTCAGATGGCAGAGTCAAATCTGGGTGTAAACAACATGAAAACATCTCTCCATCCACCATAGTATAATGGTGTCACTGTACATTTTCTTGGCACACTTTGGGCCTTGTAGTACCAACTAAGCCTCATTTAAACTCAGTAGCTAGTTTTGCTATGAAGAATTTAGGTTATTCTGAAGGTAAAAGAGGGTCCAACCTCATAGCAGCTAATAAAGGGTCCAGCGAGTGGATTTTTTTCCCCTTAGCCATAGGTTTTCTGTGACATGTCTCTTTTTAATGGGATGCACCACCATTTTAGTGGCTGTTCTCTCATATTTTCAACAATGCAAAATGAAATATTGTTTAAATATTAATTCCACTAAAGTTTAACGGAATTCTTCTTTTTTAAAACTACTTGAGCAAATGTGAAAGCACAGTAATCGATTTAGTAAAACTCTGCTGCTTTGAGTGTTGAATGCCTAAATGTCTAAAGAGATCATCAGTCTAATTATCGACTAGATAGATTGTATCTGAAGTGTTTACTACACTACAGAACAAACAGAACAGTAAACAGCAATCAGGTGGTATTGTGCACCAAAATGATTAAAAGATTTCTAACAATAAACACTGAATAAAAAGGGACTACTTTTAGTACAAAAGGGAAACTTCTGAAGAAAATCACTCCATTGACAAAAATACTTTTCCAGACAGCTTCATAATAGTCTGATATTTCTCACCTTGGCAACATACGGTGTGTGGTAAAGAGCTCTACTACAGGGTAAAATTTGACAATCAATAGTGCATTATTAAAGCTAGATGCTGGGAAGGCGGTTACAGGTGCAGCTGACGGCAAAGCTTTGTTGTAAAAAATATCTGAAATCGTTCGTCGCCTTCTCTTAGACTTACATGAATCAGGTTGTAATAGGTGGAGTCCTCTGGTGTATTCAGGGTCTTTGGCTGCTGGTTCCTGCGGGGGGTTCTCGACAATCTTTTGTCAGCTGAAAAGTAACACAGACAGTTTAATGCATCCGGCACTGGTTTTGCTGATGATAATTGGGCAAAATGAGGCTGACAAAAATGCACAACTTTATTTCCTGATAAACTCTCAAAATATCTTCAACACATGATCAGTTTGCATTTTTTTAAGTGTCAGTTGGTTTTCATGGCATGCCCACCACTGCTGCAGCCTCTTATTTCACAAAAGTACTCTTAGCTGAAGTATTTTGGGGCATTTTCTTCCCTTCTTAAAGAGCAAACATGGCAGATGAGATGGGGGATGGTGAGACAGAGACGACTGGCCAGAAATTGCTGCCTTCAAATCAGTTTGTATTTCCATCTTTTTACTTCCTACTTTTCACAGAATACGAAGTTTCTGCAGCCTTTAATAACAAAGAGTGCTGCTGTAAAATGCAGATTTCTGGAAATATATAAGGATTTATGTTAGCATTATGGTCAATTGGAGAGGAGGGAGGTATTTCTACTCTCTGATGGATTTCTACATCTGGAGGTTAGCCTCAGCAATTCATAATATTTTTCTCCTGCAAGATGCCAAATAAATTAGAGTAGAAAACTGAACATATAACATGCACATAATGCGTTTTTACATTATGAGATATATATATATATATATATATAATTTTTTTTTTTAAACTTTTGACAGATGACTTTAGAGAGAAGTCGTGAAATGAAAGATGACTAGATTCAAAGCAAGAACCACCAGTGCAGTCCAGATTAATGATACAGGTATAAACATTTGATGTTATATATTTCAGTTATATCATACTCAAGATTATTGTGTCATTTTTATGAGGCTCAGGAATATTTTTTAGTGTATATTTTCTAAGGCACTTGTGGAAGTGCAGTGTTTGATAACTTCGTAATGATCCACGTTTAATTCCGAGTACGGTATTTGAACATGCAGTGATTGGGTGGGCAGCTTTCATGCCTGACATCTCCCACCTTGCAGCGGCTGTACTGCAATCTATCATGTTTGTCATACATGATGTACTGTATCAACAACCCTCATCTATGTTATTGCAATTATAAATATATTACAGTGACCTTTGTTTGATGCTCATTATTAATCGCTGTTCACATACGGGAAAAAAACAATCCATCATGTACAGAAGCTCTCAGGTGAAGAAGGTAAAAAGTTTGTAACATTATTGAACAACTCCATCCAAAGGTCATTCTGAATTGCAAACAACTAAAGCCAATTTTACGTACCTACTTATTACTTCTTGCCATAATTGTTGGAAATGCTAACTCGCAAAACATGATTAACATCTGATGACCTTTCCTGAAGAACAATGTGACTGGGATTCCTCTGCTCTCTCTCTCTCTCTGTGTGTGTGTGTGTGTGTGTGTGTGTATGTATTGCAAATGATTTTGATTTATTATGTCAGTGAAATTCATGAGGACAGATTAGCGCCGTCAATGGAGAAATGACTTTGTGAAGCTGAAAAGGATAATTTCATAGGAGTTGCACTAGCCCCTGGAAATAACACTGATAATTCATTCTGCTTTACCTCAGGCAATGCACTGTGCTGGAGAAGAGTCTGTAAAGGGCAAACATGCCTGGATTAAAGGAAGACTGTTATCTGTGTAGCTCACTCTGTGATACCACTCTTTTGTCTGCAGATCTGTACACTGCCGCAAGTTAGCTTAGCCTAGCATACAGACTGGAAACAAAAACATCTATTCGGGCTCTTTCTGAAAGAAAATAAACTGAGTAAGAGTCATTAAATGCTCTCTAGTTAACACACTCTCACTGGCCATTGTATTAGGTACTTCTTTTTAGCTGCTTGCTTATGTAAATAGCAGAAGTGGGATGTATAGCCAACAAATCAGCAACTGTGTAGTGTCAACGTGGACCAAATATCTGAGAAATGTATTCTGCACCTTCACGAATTCATGTCACAAAGAAGAAAAATTACTTGGAAAGACCAATGAGGATATAACCCAGTGCAATTGATTAGTACCAGGTTATCAACTGAGTTAGCTAGTTTTCTCTTTGTGGTAAGGCTTTAAGACTTACTTACTATATCTTTTTTATATTAAATATAGCATGGTTAAGGATAAAAAAGTATTATGTTCAGGACAGAAACACCATAAAATAATGTAAACACTTGGTCAAAGGGATTAAGTTAGTGACAAACTGAAGGAAAAAAATAAAACACTCTTCTGCGAAATTAAAAAACTATTTGAAATCAAAGAAATGCAAGATCATTCAGTACATTCAAAGCATACAGTCTGAAACTCAAAGGCTTTACGTTATTCATTTGTCTGTGGGCAGTATCCTTTTGTGGCTGGCTTTTGGTTTTGTCTTCTCCCTTTAGATTACTACTTTCATATTACTCTTTAGGGTACTAGTCAAAGAATGAATATGTATTCATAATACAAAATTAATTAAAATGTGGGCTTTTCTGGTGACAGGTGAAAGTTAAATGCTACAGTCTTACTGAAGGTACCCTGGTGTACTGTTACAACTTCCAAAACAAAAGTGATTATTCAAAATGTTGACTACTAAAAAAGTTAAAACTGAATTTACAAACAGAGCATTACAAGGCTATCACACAAGATTAAAAAGGTACTGCAAATGCAATGCCCTTGTAATAAAACTCAAAAGACTCTAAAGATGACAGCTGTCATCTTTATTTTTGCAAAGTGAACTTTTCAAATTGCTGCCTCTCTTCATTGACCACCCCAAAAGCAATTACAGATATCACCCATGCAAATCAAATGTTATCTTTGATGACACATGAAGAAGAGAAATGCTTCCTGTTTGGCACTTGACCTTCTCAGGTTTCCTAATCTAATAGAGCTGCAGGACACAGAAAGAAGATACTGTCCATCAGTAATAGGGATGCACCGATACCGATACCGGTATCTGGTATCGGCCTCGATACCACATTTTCTAAAGTACTCGTACTCGTTAAAAGTCCCCCGATACCGAGGACCGATACCACGGTCTGAGACCTGTCTATGTTTGAGCGGCATGTAAGGGGTTAATCACAAGCACCAAGTGCCCGCCCCCAGGCCCCGGCTGCAGAGCTGGGAGAAGGTGAGGCGAGACGTGTGGAACTATTTCAAAGTGAATGAAGACACGAAAACAAAGGCGGACTGCAAATTGTGCTCAGCGAAATTGTCCAGAGGAGGCTCAAAAGGTAGCGCATTTAACACAAGTAATTTAATCAAGCACCTAAAATCCCAACACAACAACAAGTACAAAGAGTTTACCCATGCTTATTTACCCACGCTTATTAGCACAGAGGAGCATAGCTGATGCTATAGCAGTGGGACGGAAAATAGTTGGGCATTTTAAACATTCCGCCTTAGCCTACTCCCGCCTCGAGGACATTCAGGGACAGCTCAACCAGCCAATAAAGAGACTGCAGCAGGACGTACAGACGCGCTGGAACAGCACGTATTACATGCTCCAGTCCCTCATTGAGCAAAAGCGAGTGCTGGAGGTGTATGTGTCCGAGCATGAACTCCCTGACTATCTCACCGCTCACCAATGGGCTCTTATGGAGACAACTGTTGCCATCCTCGCCCCCTTTGAGGAACTAACTAAAAAAGTGAGCAGCTACGACGCACTAGCCTCTGATGTCATCCCAGCTGTGACTGTGCTAGTGAGACTTCTAAACAGAGAAACAGACGGGGACCACGGTGTCAAGACAATGAAAGCAACCTTACAGGCAGCTGTCAAAAAGCGCTTCAGTGACGTCGAGACCAACCCACTGTACTTCATCTCCACCATACTTGACCAAAGGTAAAGTCTGTGTGCTATAGGTATTCAATGATAAACTACAGTACTAAATGTAAGATTATTTTACATTTGAAATATTATATATTTGTAACTAAATTACACAAATACAAATGCATGCAATATATATAATATGAAATACATTTCCCTTATTACTACCAGAAAGTCAAATGGCTGGCATTTGTCAATGAGTAAGTACTCGGTATTGGTATCGGCGAGTACTGAAATGCAAGTACTCGTACTCGTACTCATTTTCCAAAAAAGTGGTATCGGTGCATCCCTAATCAGTAACATGGTCATCTACCAGAAGTCAGCAATAAAATTGCAATCTCCTTGTTTTTTTTGTTTTGTTTTTATCGATCAAAATTAAAGAACAGGGAGAAAATAGCTGGAATTTATTATCCTTCAAAATGAGCACCCACTCCTGACCCAGATTGTTGTTTTCAGTCAGTTTGAATAGAGCTAATAGCTCAGTCGCATTTGACAACTTTCGGTCAATGGTTCTGAGCGCAGTTGGGCACCATATCCACTATCTTCAGTTCAGCAGACTGAAAAAGACTAGAGAAGCCAAGAAGACAGTGAGAATGGACAGACTGTCTTTCTTAATTATCTAAAGGTCCAGTGCATCAAAAGCTGAACCAGAACTTCAAATTAACTTTGGGTCAATCCATGACAGCATTATGAATTGTTTTTATTGCTTTATAATCTGTTTTTCACCTAGCCAACCTCACTTATCTTACTTGAATGGCGACGCTGGGGAGTGAAGCTACCATTGATTGCGTTTCCTCTCACAAACAACATGCCATTGTTCTCAGGGTCTGATTGATGGGCCTGGATGATCTCATTTAGCTTCTGCTGCAGAGTCAGAAAGTCCTCAGACGTCTTTGCGATCTGTTGGAGAGATTAGAAGGAAAAAGGATATAAGACTGGAAAGAAAATGACACGATAGTGAGTTTTCAATAAAATCTGTTTGAGGCTATAACCTGTCTGGAGAAGCTCTCCAGCCTTCTTGTCTCTTTCTGTGCAGCTTCCTTGTTGGCCTTCAGGTTCTTCCTGTCCTTGTACCCTCTGAAGTTACTCTGGATCTTCACTGCAGCGTGTTCTTCCTCCAGTCTTTGGTTTTCAACGTCTGTCTCATCTTTACGTTCAATTACCACATCAGTGATGTCCACAGCCTCCTCCTGTTCTGCATCAGTGGGAGTCCCAGATTCCTCCTTAGCTTTCAATTGCACTTCCCTCTCAGCTTTCATTTTCTTTCGGTCCCGGTGGCCTCGGAAGTTACTCTGGATGACAGTAGCTGCTTTCTCTTCATCCAGCCCTTCTCGGTTCTCACTAGAAATGTTCTCCTGGGGTTCTGGAAGAGATTCCTCTGTCTCTTCCTCCTTTGGAGGCTCTGATGGAACATCTTTCTCCTTCTGCCTTTTCTTGGGGAGCTTTCCCTCCTCTTCGAGTCGTTTGCGCTCCTTGTGGCCTCTGAAATTGCTCTGAAGCACTACAGCCGCTTTGGTCTCATCTGCATTTTCAGCTGTTGTCGAGGCTTCTTTTTCTGCCTCGTCACTACCTGGTTCCTTTTCCAGCACTTCGTCCCCTGCAGGACTTTTTGCTTTCTGTTTCTTAGCTGGGATTTTGCCTTCTTCCTCTAGTTTCTTCCGCTCTTTGTAGCCCCTGAAGTTACTCTGGAGAACAGTGGCCGCCTTGGTTTCCTCTTCTAAATCAGCAGCTTCCTCACCTGCAGTTTTTTTCTGTCCACCATCCTCCTGCTCTTCTTTTTTAGGCTCAGCATCCTGAATCACTGCTTCCTCTGCCACTTCTGTGTGCTCATCTTCTGGCACCTGAGTATTATCACTGTCATCATTCTCCTCTGCTTCATAAGTACTTTCTTCATCTTCCTCATTCTCCTCTTGTTTATCAGCTGACTTTTCACCTACTCCTTCTTTGTTAGCCAACTCTTGGACATCTTTTTCCTGTCCCTCTTCCGCTGTTGCATTTGGCAATTCCAGCTCTGCTCCAGCCATCGTCTTTTTTCTCTCCTTAAACTTTTTTCTCTCTTTGTAGCCCCTATAGTTGCTTTGAAGAACCACTGCAGCTTTAGTTTCCTCCTCCTCGTTCTCTGCATCATTTTCTGGTTTTGCTATCTGTTCCTCATTTTCTTTCGAAGCAGTCTCTGCTTTCTCTTTCTCTCTGGCTTCCCTGGAAGCAAAATAGACACATTTATGTTAAAAAGAAGAAAAGAAAAAAAGACATTTCACTACTGCTTTGTGCATAGCTTCCATCTCTCTTACAGCTTTCTTTTAAAGCTCTTCCTTTCTTTATGCCCTCTGTAGCGAGCCTGAATCTTGGTTGCTGCTTTATTCTTCTCATCTACCATCTCTTTGTACCTCTTTTTTGCGAGATAGCCTCGGCAAACTGAAGAAGAAAATGGAATAAGGGTAAGCCAATATAATACACACCACATATAGATAATGTAACTAATTTAATATCAGACTCCTACCAGCCTGAAACTGGATGATGAAGGCCTCCAACTTTGCTTTGCTTTTCTCATCAGCTACCCTCTTCCGAGCTTGATGGCCTCTGTATGCTGCAGCACAAAAAAAAAAAAATTTATGCCTCCTCTATAACTTGTTGACATTGTGGTACACAACCAGCGTGCACAGTTTACTAACCTGACTGCAGCACCAGGGCACTTTGTTCTCGCTCTTTTAATATCCGCCGGTACCGCTTGGCTCCAAGCCAGCCTCGAACACAAGCCTGGACCAGGATGATTCGCTGTGTTGTCTGCTGTACCATCAGATTCAGATGTTCAACGTGGTAATACTTGAGAAACACCTAAGCCCAGAGGGATAAAAACAACTGTTAGTTATTGAAATACAAACATAACACTGTAGGTTTAGCCTCAAATGCAGAATCACGCAAGCACTGTTGGATTCCCTTTTCAGGCACGACAGTGCAGAAGTTATTGTTCTTTCACAGCAGGAGATTTCTGGGTTCAACAATTTAAGGTACCTTTGTATGTGGCATTTACATGTGCGCGTCAGTGCAATATGAATGCATAGGAGTCTCATAGTGCAAAGTGTTTTAAGTTGTTATCAAGATTAGAAAAGTAATAAATAAATGCTAATCCATAAAGCAGCAGAAGATAAAGCAATACAAAGAATTGAGCCTTCACTAAACTGGCTTCAGTTTGTATTAATATTTACCCTAACCCTAGGTAATCAGAATAAAAATACTGGCAGCTGTCAGTGCTACCCCTTAGCCTCCTAGTTAATGGACCTAAGGTATAAATTTGAAAATCTGACCTCTGACCTTGAGATCACGTCATCAGGATTCAAACTCCAAGATTTTCAGGAGCTGTCCATACTGGATGAAAACCTGACCTTTGACCATAACCTTGAGAAAGAGGTCACTGAGATTCAACATTTTCCAACGTTTTTAGTGGATACATCTATGGTATAAATTTCAAAATCTTATGTTGCTTTGTTCTCGAGCTATTTTAATACAGAAACTTGAGGGTCCATGCCACCCAACCACCTGACCGCTTGGCAGGGTGACGACCACACCCCATCAGCCTTTTACAGTTGTGGGATAATCACTGTTGTTCACTCAAATCTATGCAATTAGATGATGATGATCTTTGAAATGCTCTTTGGTTATAGATTTAAAATAAAAAAATAAAAAATCAGAAGCACATTCTTTTATTTTCATGCCTTGTTTAACCTAAATGGTTTGGGTGTATGAGCCTTCATCTGGAGTCCTTTATTAACTTGATTTGAATCTATTCATGACCATAACGTGTGGAACAAAGTTTTATTTAGTATTGAAGTTTTAAATTGGCCTCTGGCAAAGGAGGCTCAATGTGCTACATTTGGATGTTTGTTCCGTATGTTTGAGATTCCTGCTGGATCATGAAGGGATGCAACAATAAAAGGGTGGAAAATTTCTTTTAATTTCATGCCTCAACTTAACCAAACAGTGAGAAACAACAGTAAACACCAAATTAAATCTCTCCTTACCTTCGTCTTTCCCATAGCCCAGTTTTCCAGCTTGGCCTTCTCCAGTATTGCAGCACATGTTTCTGGGGTTGCAGCGGGCTCCTCGTTAGCATGGTAAGCCAATAAGTAGTACCTGCAGCAATCAATGTAATTATCTGGACACTAATATCAAGGTTCTACACGCTGATTTTGTAATCACTTCATAAGCTCTGCTTTTCACCACTGACCTCTTAATGAAGTTAGCAAACAGGATGCGGTGAGAGTAACCCTGGCGTCTGATCTTGGCAGTCTCCAGAACACCAGTGTATCGAAGCTGGACCAGAACCTTTTCACGGTCAAACTTGTTGGCATGGCGATCGTTGTTGGGCTTGATGCAGCGCACAAAGTGAGGCTGACCTGCCACCATCTTGGACAGAAGGTCCATCAAAGAGTACTAGAAGGAGCAGAAGAAGAAGATTAGGGGTAGTTGTGGCAAATATATGGTAGTTATAATGTCTCTGGTGAGAGAAGGCACTCAAAGAAAACCAGCTAGAAATTTATGGTACAATTCTATAATGGTAGATGGTGGTTATCCAGCCCCGGCCCTAAAAGAGTATCTATATATCTGAGGTTGTATGTATCATTTCTATGTTTGTATTTATAATTCTGACCCTGTGTAGAAAATTCAAAATAAATGCATAAATCTTTAAGATCTTTGCTGTACAATCATTCCACCCTGGAAACAAAACACTTAAAAGAAATGATTAAAAGCTCAAAATTACTTTGAAATCATGCTCATGATGAGTGTATGTGAACTACTGAGTACAACTGTATTTGTTTGTTAATTTGTGGCTCTCTCTAAAAACCTCCCAAATAACTGATCCAAGCAAATAAAATAAAATAATTTAAAAAAATGTTCAAATCTTACTCTGAAGTAGGAGGCCACTGTCTGTGTTCTCATGTTGGTGGTTTCTCTAGGGTGGTAAGGCGTGTCTCCAGATTCACCTGGCTAAAAAAAAAAACCAAAAACATAAAACATATTAAAAAAGGCCAATAATACCGGGTATATGATATAATACTACTCTCTATAATTTCTGCTTGTACAGTATGGATATCCGACTAAATAATAAAACATGTATGCGGTTTATCTTTTTTCTCCTGTGCAAATTTTACTCCAAACATTTGATTGTGTTTTTGAAAAACCACCAATCACCGTTTTCATTTGCTTACATCAAGCAAGATTTTTTTTGCAGGCTTTAATTCCAGAGAACGCTGCAAAAGAGACGCATAAAGTGGATAAACAAGTAGTGCCAAATCAAGAATATGGTCTACTTATATACAACAGTGTTACACCCAAATCGGTCACATGTCAATGGTGGGTGGTTCAGTGTCTTTTGATCTTTTTTGAGTCGGAAGCATGCTTAGATTTAAGTAAGCAATATGAGGTATAGATAGCTGCCCCCCCCAAAAAAAAAAAGAAGAAACAGACAGCTAAATAAAAATAAAAAAAATAACCACTTAATTGTCTTTACCACATATTTGGAAACATTTTAAAAAGCTCTACTTCTAATTCTCAACACAAACACAACGGGGAGAAGACCACCTTTATAGCACGCCATCAGCCTAATGCTGTTTTTTAGCATTTAAATTGTTCATCGTGGCTTCTCAAGAGCAAAACCTTTGATGAGCTTTTTCCCTAAAATATGCAGATGAATGGAAATAAATTCAAGAACTAATCAAACAGTTCTTGTAAATGTAGCTGCTGTCGATTGGTTTTAGGTGAGCAAATGGCTTTGAGGCTTACATTTAGCAATGGTGTACGGCTGCAATCTAAACTAATTCACACCGGCACATAAAGCCACGCAATTGAGTTGCCAGGAGGAGTTTTATTTGGATACTGGCACCTGAAAGAGTCAGGCTGATTACGGAATGCTTGGAGTGCAAAATTTAAAGTTTTAACACTGTTTTAAAAGCATTTTAAAAAAAATTGATTGACTATGTAAGCCATTTTTCTGAAATTGCATAGCAGAATTAGGCATGGTGCTATAAACACAAATCCACCACAGTGATATACAGGGAGTGCAGAATTATTAGGCAAATGAGTATTTTGTCCACATCATCCTCTTCATGCATGTTGTCTTACTCCAAGCTGTATAGGCTCGAAAGCCTACTACCAATTAAGCATATTAGGTGATGTGCATCTCTGTAATGAGAAGGGGTGTGGTCTAATGACATCAACACCCTATATCAGGTGTGCATAATTATTAGGCAACGTCCTTTCCTTTGGCAAAATGGGTCAAAAGAAGGACTTGACAGGCTCAGAAAAGTCAAAAATAGTGAGATATCTTGCAGAGGGATGCAGCAGTCTCAAAATTGCAAAGCTTCTGAAGCGTGATCATCGAACAATCAAGCGTTTCATTCAAAATAGTCAACAGGGTCGCAAGAAGCGTGTGGAAAAACCAAGGCGCAAAATAACTGCCCATGAACTGAGAAAAGTCAAGCGTGCAGCTGCCAAGATGCCACTTGCCACCAGTTTGGCCATATTTCAGAGCTGCAACATCACTGGAGTGCCCAAAAGCACAAGGTGTGCAATACTCAGAGACATGGCCAAGGTAAGAAAGGCTGAAAGACGACCACCACTGAACAAGACACACAAGCTGAAACGTCAAGACTGGGCCAAGAAATATCTCAAGACTGGTTTTTCTAAGGTTTTATGGACTGATGAAATGAGAGTGAGTCTTGATGGGCCAGATGGATGGGCCCGTGGCTGGATTGGTAAAGGGCAGAGAGCTCCAGTCCGACTCAGACGCCAGCAAGGTGGAGGTGGAGTACTGGTTTGGGCTGGTATCATCAAAGATGAGCTTGTGGGGCCTTTTCGGGTTGAGGATGGAGTCAAGCTCAACTCCCAGTCCTACTGCCAGTTTCTGGAAGACACCTTCTTCAAGCAGTGGTACAGGAAGAAGTCTGCATCCTTCAAGAAAAACATGATTTTCATGCAGGACAATGCTCCATCACACGCGTCCAAGTACTCCACAGCGTGGCTGGCAAGAAAGGGTATAAAAGAAGAAAAACTAATGACATGGCCCCTTGTTCACCTGATCTGAACCCCATTGAGAACCTGTGGTCCATCATCAAATGTGAGATTTACAAGGAGGGAAAACAGTACACCTCTCTGAACAGTGTCTGGGAGGCTGTGGTTGCTGCTGCACGCAATGTTGATGGTGAACAGATCAAAACACTGACAGAATCCATGGATGGCAGGCTTTTGAGTGTCCTTGCAAAGAAAGGTGGCTATATTGGTCGCTGATTTGTTTTTGTTTTGTTTTTGAATGTCAGAAATGTATATTTGTGAATGTGGAGATGTTATATTGGTTTCACTGGTAAAAATAAATAATTGAAATGGGTATATATTTGTTTTTTGTTAAGTTGCCTAATAATTATGCACAGTAATAGTCACCTGCACACACAGATATCCCCCTAAAATAGCTAAAACTAAAAACAAACTAAAAACTACTTCCAAAAACATTCAGCTTTGATATTAATGAGTTTTTTGGGCTCATTGAGAACATGGTTGTTGTTCAATAATAAAATTATTCCACAAAAATACAACTTGCCTAATAATTCTGCACTCCCTGTATGAACAAGTCTAGTATTAGCACGGCATAAGAGATACATCAGAAGGAAGTAAGGGATGTTTTTAGGTGCATTTAGCATTTTGCAAAGCAAGGCTGCAAATACACATAATGATCTGCACAGAGACTTAATGCAGGAAAATACTTTTAAGTAGACCTTTTATGCTCATTTCCAGCTTTATATTTTTATGCTTGGAGTCCATTAAAATAGCTTTGAGTGATTCCCGTCAAATCACTCTCTGCTTCAGCTCTTTTCCCTCTTCCTTTAAGCGAACTATCATCTGATTGGCTGCCTCTCACAAACACATTATTTCAACAGCAGGTAGGCGGGGCCTCTGTTCAGACAGAGCTGTGTGCCTGAGATAACCACATTAGGGATACCTGCTCTCCTTGGCATCATAACAAGCTTTTGGCTCATTAGGAGCTCATGCTGAACTGATACTTTAGAACTTTTGTCATGTTAAACATGAGGAGCTATGCAAAGTTGTATATGATGACATATAAAATATCATCATATCTTTGTTTTAAAACTGATTACTGTGCATTTTTAATCTTTTAAAAAACCCAAACACGTTGATTAGCTTTCAGTTCTGGTTTTAGTTAATGGAATTACTATTTTGTTAACACAGGAGGCACGGAGGTGTTGCTTGCACGTCCAGAGGAGGCCATTCTGCAGGTTAAAAGTCTTATATTATACATATATATATATACTGTATATGATAGTTATGTTACTTGTGTTTCTTTTTTTTGACAAGTATATCAAATAGAAAATAAGGAAATCCATAATAGGTCGCTTTTCACTTTGTTGAACTAAGTAACTTTAACTGTAACTATCTCAAACCAAGCTACAGGCCACTATATCGGGATCCAATTGGTTATTATAAGGATATCTAGAGTGAGGAAAGGGTATAGTTATACACACATCTGTATTACCTCGCTAAAAGAAAAAGAACTGTATAAACTTAGCACTCCCATCTTTTGAAACAGAAATGCAGCGAAAGGGAAAAAGAAAAACGAAAGAAAGGTGAGAAAATAAATAAAATAAGCAGTAATTACAGTTGGGTAAAAACAGAGCGAGAATGAATGAAAAACACAGTAGACACAAGTATCTGAACTGTAATTCAGCAGCAGGTCTCGACTGGAGTAGTGAGAGTAATATGGAGAAAATAAATTGAACAACTTTTCAGAGGAAGTTCTTTATGTGGGAGATAATACAGTGATAATGCAGACAGTGCTGTAAGTACCTTGGCGAGGGTGATGGTGCGTGTCGGGGTCCGTGGGCTCCGTATTGTGTTTATGCCTTTACCCTTGGTGTGGGCAAGGTTGCCTGTGAAATGAATAGTGGATTAGAGAGCGAGTCAGTGAACAAACTGCCCTCAACAGAGAAAAGAGACTTAGTCACACATCCAGAAACCATCTGAAGAAACAGAGCAGTGCACGTTATTTTAATCAGGTGGGATAATTACTGAGGTTACATTAAGTCTAAACAGTAGGCTCCTGTCATGCTGAGAGTTACTGCTGATCAGGTCAGTGAACGTGACACCAGGTTATGAAGCACCACTGCTAAAAACAGCCCCTTTAAAAATGCTTTTAAAAAGCAATAAGCAGATTATTAGCTTTGCGATTAGATTTTGACATTGCTGACAAAGAATGCATGCTGGTAAAGAATACTGCTTATTACAAAACATGTCTGCCAGACGAGAGGACAAAGCTAAACAGTCTAAGAATGGCCATGTCATTTTATTTTAAGTACTTCTGCACTGTTTTCAAGTAATTGAAGCAAAAGTTAGAGCTTTTCACCTTCTACCTTTCTTTCTTAACTTGATTTTAACTTCATTCACAAAGAGCTGTTGTGTCTGCTTCACCTGTTCTGGTGAGGGGGTGAGTGACAAGCTTGCGAATGAGCTCATTCTCCGACGACCTCAGCAGCAGGATAATGTCAGCTGGAAGGGTTTCTCTGTTCTTGGCCAAGAAGCCCGTGGCATTGTAAATCACCTTAAGGTTTGGTAGAGAGGTATAAAGAAAGATATGAATAGCAAATACCAAACAGCTTCAGTTTATGATTAGAATTAAATGTTAAATTACCTTTCCAGCATAGTGGTGAATCCCAAAGCCCAGGTCAACCCTCATTGGCCTCCAGAAGCTTTTTGTCTTGAGATTACCTTCAAATTTCTCTAAAATATCAGACTGCATGAGTTAATTATCCAAACACCCAAGGCCATCCGAAGGTCCCTACACACCCCAGATTCAAGTTATAATATCATATAAATATCATATAAATCTATAGTATAGTATATGTAGGGCACAGCAGCAGCCAAGCTTGTGAGAGGGTCAACCTAAATTTCTGATATTATCAAAATTTTGTTCCAAGCTATATTTGACTGTGAAACCGTCACAGCAGCCAACTTTAAACATCTGTCACTGTGTGGTCATCGTTTTGGAGCTACAACCTAAATGATCACCACAACTCAACCACACTTGTTATCTTGCTCTGGGACAAAGCAAAATATCAGAGTGTATAGTTGGAGAAAAGTTAGATTAACACCTCATATGTAATCAGCCCCTGCACTAACAGGAAGTTGTGGTTACCGAGGTTACCAAACTCAAAACATGATAACATAAATAATAAAGCAAATAAAACAAACATTTCTCTATTGAAATCTGAGCAGCTCACCTACGAGTGTCTGGTCAGTGGCCTGCGGGAAGCGGCTCTCTTCATCCAGAAGTGACAGCATCCCCATGGGCTTCTGCAAGAACAGGTCCAGGAGTGGCCGGTTGTCCTCGTACTCGATCATCCGAGCATCAACTTCTTCATTCAGGTACTCATCCTGCACAGGAGTGGAAATAAGCACTTGTGATGTAATGTCTTTAATGGCCTCCTTTCATGGGTCAAAACACCTTCCAACAGCTTGATGAAAGCCTGAGTTTCTTAAGTTTTCCATCGATTTTCATGTTACCAAATAAAAAGGTCCAAATAAGATGTCAAATCAACTTCTCCGTGGAGTAGAAGTGTGTTTGGAATTCCTTTAGCTAACCCTAATATATGATAACATGTTAGAATGAATTATGAACAAGTGAATAACCTTTCATGGAATGCTGATCTCTCCAGTTGGCTCTAAATATCAAACTAATTCCAAGGTTAATCTCCTAATCCTAGCAAGACACTGTAGCTTTTCTGGTCTCTGGTTAATGACACATATTCACTGTCACAGGACAGCCTTTAGGACTGGGTTACTATACATGGTCAATAGTCATTACTCCTTGATCTCCTTGATACTAAGATGCTATTAATGCTGCTGCCTTAATAATAAAGCCGTATTTCTGCATGAGTGAAATCTTGTCTTACAATACCAAATGCACTTTAAGATCCATTAAACAGCAGTACAGTTTTATATCCTCGGTTTTATTTCTTTAATGTCACGCTTTAGCGTTCACAAAGGTTTGACCTTTTAAAATAAAAGCGTCTAGAAATTTACCTACATAAATTGTCCCAAAACAGCTGTTTATGGACATAACTATATTAAATCAACGATGTTGATTTGTTGTCTTTTATCTCCTCTTAACTCGGCTCTGATAAATCTGATCTGCAGGGCAAAGTGAGCAAACCTGATCACATCAGGCTGACTCAGATCTGCTACTATGACTCAGCAACATCACCAGGGACTTCTACTCCACGGAGAACAGGTCAAAATGGAACAAACAATATCAAATCAATCTGCTTATTCGAGCATGAAGTGCCACTGTGAAGAAAATGAAGTAAAGCAGAAAAAAAAAATCAGCATGGATGCAGATAGATTGGGACAATATGCAACCACACGCATAAACATACATGAAAACATGAGGGCAGTGGAGTAAATGCACTGCTGATAAAACCTTACCATACAGCAATCCTTTAATTCTGCCTTATTTATGTAGAACTATTAATCTCACAGCACCGTACATTTCCCTTATGCTCTGGATATACATATGATGGCTGCATAGGACAATATATTTCTGGGCCTGGTTCCAACAATACCCAAGAGTGAATTTAAGTCCAGCACTAAGTGTCTTCAACTCCTAATTGACCCTCGTTTAGAATGATTTATAACACCTCCCAATGGGTGACTCCAAATCATTTAACATTGGCAAACCATTCTCTGACCCCCCCCAAAGGCAAAACCCTCTCACGAGACTGCACGAGGGGAGAACAGAGAACCTCATTCTGCCGTGAATAAAGACAGCAGCATATTTTACCCTTGCCATCTCTTTTAAAATGCAGACTGACAAACGATGACATGTTATCTCAATTTAGATGGAAATGAGTTAGAACCAAGGTGAAAACTGCACACAGAGAGCTGTTCAGGAGGGATTCACGTTCTGAGAAAGTGTTATTTGAATTCAGTGACAGGCTGGGGGGCATGCTGGTGTGAGGTTTGTGGGCTGAACTTTACCTGTTCCCACGCAAAGATGTGCTGGTTGAAGTAAAACTGGATCTGCTCGTTGGCAATGTTGATGCAGAGCTGCTCGAAAGAGTTCTTCTTGAAGTTTTCAAAACCAAATATGTCCAAGATGCCGATGTTAAGGCCCTTGTCGTCCTCTCTGGAGAAGACAAGGATAAAATGTTAAATCTTTAAATGCATTCATAGAATAGCTAACCGTGTGGTGCTAGGGATGGCTATGTTGTTCTGGTAGCCTGACACCTAAATGGTAAGTGGACTGGTTCTTATTTTGCACTTCTCTACTCTAGCTGACCACTCATATACTTTTCTTATTTTTAAGTTATGATTCTTACTTGTGTAAAAAGCAAAAGGTCTTGGATATTTAGTTGGAAGCTTATCTGCCACTGATTTTTTTCCCCATCCATACAGCAAGTCAAAATTTCAGATTATTTTTTGTCAAAATTTAAACTTACTCATTCAGACTTTTGAGAAAATAATTCAAAATGAACAAAATAATGTAAAAAGTAAAACTTAAAGCCTTAAAATATTTTATTATTTGAGTTTTTTTTTTTTTTAATTTACAAACATACATCTGTCATAAAGGTGTAAATTAGCTAGAAATAGCAAAAGAGAAATTTGTAGCAGGCTGCAGAAATGTTTATTTCTGCTTGAAAACTGGGCATGGAGTGTATGACTCTAGAGGCTTCTAGAATGAGCCTCTAGTGGCCATTAGCGGAAGTGCAATTTTTAGCACTTCAGCTGAGAGGATGTTAGTAGACAGACATCATTTAAACGTTAGAAAGAATTCCATCCATCCATCCATCTTCATCCGCTTTGTCCGGGGCCGGGTCGCGGGGGCAGCAGCCTAAGCAAAGAGGCCCAGACCTCCCTCTCCCCAGCCACCTCCTCCAGCTTGTCCGGGGGAATACCAAGGCGTTCCCAGGCCAGCCGAGAGATATAATCTCTCCAGCGTGTCCTGGGTCTGCCCCGGGGCCTCCTCCCGGTGGGACATGCCTGGAACACCTCACCCAGGAGGCGCCCAGGGGGCATCCTTGTCAGATGCCCGAACCACCTCAGCTGGCTCCTTTGAATCGCTACCTTATCGTGGTGGAGGGGTTTGTGTGTCCCTGGGATCCCAGGGGCTATGTTGTCTGGGGACTTTTGCCCCCTGGTAGGGTCTCCCATGGCAAATTGGCCCTGGGTGAGGGACCAGACAAAGAGCGATTCATAAGACCCTTATGAAAAGGACACCGAGGGAACAGTTTACCCTGCCCGGGATAGGGTTACCGGGGCCCCGCCCTGGAGCCAGGCCCAGGGAGGGTGCCCGAGGGCGAGCGTCTGGTGGCCGGGCCTTAGTCCATGGGGTCCGGCCGGGCACAGCCCGAAGAGGAGACATGGGCCCATCCTCCCGCAGGCCCACCACCCGCAGGAGGCGCCATAGGGGTCGGGTGCATTGTGTGCCGGGTGGCGGCCAGGAGCGGAGGCCCTGGCGGACTGACCCCCGGCTGCCAAGACTGGCAATAGAAAGAATTTATAGTCTTTTTATGTTTAAAACTGTTAAACTGTTGGTTTTAACATCTCAAATGTACAGGTTTTTTTTGTGTTTTGACACTTCATTAATTCTTTTACAACTTAAACCAGTATAGTGATGCTCACGAGTATAGTGATGCTCACTATACTCGATGTAATATGTACGCAAGTAGATTTTAAAGTATATTCTGCAGTTTTAAAGACTTGGCAGTGAATCTAGTTGTGTATCTATTTTAATCCAAAAGCAGGAACTTTGTCAGACGACCTCATTCGTGACAACCAAACACACCGTTACACTCTCTGCCCCCCCATCTTACCCTTGGCTGTCAGGCCGCAGCAGCGCGTTGATTCGGTTGACAATCCAGCTGAAGAGGCGGCTGTAGAGAGCTTTACCCATGGCGTCCCTCACCTCCACTGCTTTTTCCACTGTGTTGGGTCTGACGATCGTCTCTCCGCGGGCCACAACACAGTGGGAGGTCAGGGCTTCCTGCAGCTCGTCTGAGCGGATACGAAGCAGAGATGCCACTGAGGTGACATGAGATAAGGAAGGGGATAAAAGTTAGCATTTATAGTGTGGAGTTTACTCAAAGCAGTACATCTTATGCAATATGTAGCCTCATTCTGACTGAGCAGGAGAATATTCATTCAATTAATAGGCCGCATCTATGTTGTTTTCTAAATTACCATTCAGAACAGGTGTTTGAATTCAGAAAATATAATGCAAAGCATGCACTATAATATCTAACCATTACAAATGTATGCTTCTTAATGATTTTTATGTACTAATGCAGTCTTGGGTAATTGATTTAACCAAATCATTTCCTGTATTTATCTAAACATGGAGGACTCCTGCAGAGTTAATGATGGTTAGCAAAAGAGGGAGGCGGATGAAGGGGGTGTAGCAGAGGAAATTCAGAGTCATATTTGGTTTTCTGTCATCATGCACTGTGCTTCTCTCTCTCTTTTCTTACCGTTCTCCAAGACAGACATATTGCAGATGTTGCTCTTGTCTGTTTGGTGCTCTGAGGCAACTGGAGAAAACTCAATGTCCCCAGAGTTGAGGATGGCAGCCAGTGTGCTGTAAACATTTCCGAGCTCCTGCAAAAATGAGAACAAATACAGTTTGTATGGAAACATGTATCAGTGTGTGCAACTATCCCTAATATGGTCACCTCAGCTCAGACTCAAAGCTCTAGCTTTGAGCACAGAAGCTCCGCCCACCTGCTGTTTAAACCTTCTGTTTGCGAGGAGTAGCCAATCCGAAAATAGGTGGCTCAATTATTATTTTGAACTATGAAAGCAGTTCAAACAGACCAAAAAAGGGCACAGTTTGTTAAAATCTTAAATCTACAAACAATACAGATTTGAAAAAACAAACAAAAACAAAACACTAATTCACCTGCAGCACATATATTAAGGGATCAGCTTGAAGTGCATTTCATGGACGACAAAACGACACAGTAAAATAGCACTACCAAGTGATTATAACATAAGTACTATTGATGTGGAGATCCCAAGAGCAATCAGTACTTTGAGCCTCATTAGGTTTTCACAATGTCAAGAACTGATTGCCTACATGTGCCTGCAGCTTTATGTTCCATCACAAGCCATATACAAGACGAGAAGCCGGCATGATCACACTGATTCTGAAATGCCAGCAATACTGGTGCTATAGCTAGTAAGATTGTTTACATGTTATTTTTACATAGAGTGACTTTAATGGGGAAGAGTGAGAACAAGTCAGTGTGAACACTGGGATCAAGGTTATACTGCTAAACCTGTGGCCCAGTAATGAATACATCAGTTTATACCTCCAGGGTGAATCCAATGACTTTGAAACACTGCTCGACTGCATCAAACTGCTCCTTGTAGGAAGCGTTGTTCACTATGTCAGGCCCAAGTTTAATGTTCTCGTGGTACAGATACCTGCAAAACAAAAAGGAACCACTGGGGTCTCTGGAAGTTGGGAGTTTGCAGCATGGGACGCAGATAACAGTGTTTTGGGAAAATTGCTAAGGAATGTCAAACCTACTTAGGTGTTTTGCTGTCAGAGAGCTTGTAGTGGGCTAGCTTCTTCCTGTCAGCCAGACCAGCATAAATGTAGTAAAAGATGTGGAAGTTCCTCTCCCCCCTGTGGAAACACGCACATATAGTGGAAATCAAATTCCTGAAAAGGAGACATGCTAGGTAAATGTTTTCGCCACATGATTAACATGACTCCAGTTTTGTTTTCTTAAGAAAATTTCTAACAAAATAAACATGATCAATGCTAAAATATGCACAGGAATAGTTAGTTAACATGTTTCCAGCTTTTTAAAAACCTGGTGTATCTGATATCTCCATGTTGGTGTTACTCCTGCATCATGTTAATAGTGTCCAGGATCAACATTGCTACTGACCAATCCCATTGTCGTGATGGCATAGTTTTGGAATTTGGAGGAAAAACAGACAAACTAATATAATCTGCAAACAATCCTACGCCTTCCCATATTCGTTTGAATAAAGAAGGCTGACGATCCTTCTTTAAATTCAAAACCAAGTTGTATTTCCACCAGTAACACAAATTGTAAGACTTTATGAAATAAATTACAAGCATAGATGAATGATGATGAACACTGAATGCCTTTGATTGTTTATTATGAATAAAATTTAAGCTTAAATTTATATTAATCATGAATATGGTGAAGGAAAACCTGTCTAATCTTTTGCTAAATCCATTAGTAAATAGCCATTTTTGTTTCAACAGGATAATCAAACTAAATTTGATTCAGGACACTGTCACCAAATCCCATCGGAAAGCATCAACAATCATTTCAGGTGTGTGTGTGTCATTAAAATATACCCATAATGAAGCAATTGAAAATTATCTTGCAGGGATAACAAAATATGCAACATGTGAATAAAGATTAATTCATGAAAACATAAGAGTTCAACCTGTTTTCTATTAACCCAAATACGACACCCATTAACAGACTAAATATTCATACAACGTACGGCCTAATCGAGCCCTCTCTGACGTGTGTCTGTTTTCCAATGCAGTATTTGAGTGTGTCTTTGAAGTTCCACTAAAGACACACGCAAGACCACAATCTTTGATCCAATAGGAAATAAGCTAGCCCTTCCACTTGACCCGGTCTGCTCCCCAGACACACGATAAGAAGAAATGATGGACCGAGTGAAATGCAGGTGAAAGCAAATGCCACCAGTTTCAAATGAAAAAGCAGATGTGAAAGAGAGCAAGAAAAAGAGACAATCTATTATCCGCTGATCCGTGGAAAGCGGGCAGAATAATAACCTTCATGGCAATGTTCTTTCAGAAAATGAACAGAGAGATTATTTGTATTTTTCTATGAATGTCACTCTCAAATGAAGGTAATAACAGTCAAAACCGGGACCAACACAAGAAACAGGAAGTGATATTTACATCGCCTGGTGGACAACTCTGGATTTTTCCAGCAGATACTCGGATATCTGTGCTCCGACCACTGTTCCACCACCGTTGAACTTCATTTCCAGGTACTTGCCAAAGCGGCTGGAGTTGTCATTGATGACAGTGCAGGCATTTCCAAATGCCTCCACCAAGCTGTTGACCAGCAGGATCTTCTCCTGGAGTGTCCTATTATTGGCCTAAACAAAATATCATTCCACTTTAGTTTGGCGGACTAATTTTAAAAAAAAAAGAAGAAAGTGTTACACTGTGACAAGTAGCACTACCACTTTCTATAATCTGCTCATATGAATACAAAAAAGGTCAAGAGAAATGACATTTCCTTTTTAGTTAGCCTTCATATCATGACTGGCACTAACTGCAGCACCAACGAACTCATTACAAGATCTTCAAACTGTGTTAACAGAATATCTACCAAACGATCAAGCGTTGTGCTGGTTGGATTTCATGACTCACCTTCCCGAGAACCGTTAGCTGCTGCACCAGCAGATGAGCACTCTCTGTTTTCCCTGCTCCACTTTCCCCACTGATCACAATACACTGCACACAAGAAGTCACTTGAGTCACATTTAATTATATATGCACTCTGACTCCTGTGGTGTCAACAAAAAAGGCTTTGAGGCTTAAACGCGAATAATATTAATAATGTTATTAACAGCTTAACTACCATTGTCACTAAAATATGTCACTGAATGCAGACAGTGGAGAGAGAATCAACATACTGGCTTTCTTTTACAAAGAAAATTCAAATACAGAGTCCATATAGGACAGGCATATTATATTATTAGCCTTATTAACAATAAAATCATATTGCAAGACAATGATCCCAAGCACACTAGCAAATCTACAGAACTGAAAAAGAAAATAATCAGTTTTTGAAATTTCCCAGACCTGAACCAGATTGCAAAGCTGTAGCAGGATATTAAGCGAACTGTGTATAAATGAATGCCCACAAACCTCAATGAACTGAAACAACACTGTAAAGAAGAGTGGGCTAAAGCTCGTCCACAGCGACTGGCGTTGCAAGCTATTGAATCGTGGGGTGTTCTTAATTTTTCACAGTACTGTTCAGAGTCTTGTGCAAACTTTCTTTGTTAGAAAGGATGTACTTGAATTTCCCCAAAGACGATCCAATCAAAAGGCCTTAATTCACTTGCCAATTCTCCAATATCGAATAATAGACACACCATGCTAACCATCCTAGCAAACTAGATTTAGCATTATTAGCATCACACAAAATCACGCACAAAATCCCCCCAACCCTGCAAAAAATGAATAAATGAAAAAAATTAAAAAAACAGAACCTGCTTTTGGTACTTTCTGGTATCTGGTTTCTGTTTTTTTCAGGGTCTGTGTTGTCAAACTGCTGCTCTGGCATCGTGTGGAACAGCACTTAAACAAGTAAACTCAAACAGTTTGTAATAAATGAAGAGCTTATTACCTGATCAGCATTGTATGAAACCATAGATTGGTAGGCAGTATCAGCCACAGCGAAGATGTGTGGTGGGTTAGCTGTACGCTTAGCTCCTATGTACATCTTAGTGTGCTATGAAGAGAGGGAGAAAAAGATAAAAGCTTGTTAAAGATGTGCTCAAGAGTGTAATGAATACAACAAAATAGATATTTTTAGAAAACTAAATTAATGATTTTACAAAGCGGATTTGTAATAATCTCTCAATTAGCAACAAACTTCAGGCAAAAACATGATAATTGAGAGGAAAATAGAGCCACTGAGTAATGGACGAGGCAGAAAAACAGCGGTAGTATCTGTGAAAATGTGTGTGCACTGTTTGAAGCCAAATGGGATGCAGCAGACTGAAGAACTGCAGAGGCTCTAATGAGCTATGCCAGGCTACATTCACTGCATTATTGACCAAATGTAGAGATGCATGTACACGGAAAGAACACAGATCCAAATAAAACAAAGGTCTATTTATCTCCACGGACCTCAGGCGTGTATATCTCCATTGTATGGAAAGGATTGACTGCAATGAGGGTGTCGCCCACATATGTGTAAATTTGATCTTTTCCATAGCGATTCTGAAGCTGATCTGCGACAGTGTTCTGGAAAAAAATAAACAAAGACAATAAATATCAGTATGAGATGCTTGCTAAATGACAGTCAGAACTATATTTATAAAAAACAAAAAAAAAAACAACCCACAGAAGTTTAATTTATGCCAACGTTCCCATCAAACCAGCAGCCCATTTCAGCTTGAAGGATGGGTGGAAATATCCGCTGGCAACTCATTCAATATGTCAGTTCATCCCCCAGATTTGATAAATTGTTCCAAATGTTCTTTCTGTCAAAGATGCTGCTGTGTATTTTTGCTTTGTTTTGTTTTGGTTCTTGAAAGACCAGAATGGGTAATTAGGAAAAATGATGCTAAATGTCATAATGTGACATAGTGTACCTTCAACAGCACTTAAATACAAATATATCACAGTAGACGCAGTAAACGTTCAATCAGTGTTCATTTTTGATTATCATTTCTAAACTAGTCGTTTAATCACTCAAGCGACTTTTTATATTGCATATTTTGTCCAATGGTAAATGGACTTGTTCTTAAATAGCGCTTTTCTACTCTGTCTGAGCACTCAAAGCGCTTTATACAACTAATTCATTCACCCAATCACACAAGCACTTTTTTTCTGACCTAAGTGCTAAGTAGTCTACCATTCACACACATTCACACTCCGATGGATGCATCGGAGAGCAACATGGGGTTAGTATCTTGCCCAAGGATATTTGGCATGCTGACTGGAGCAGCCTAGGATCGAACCACCGACCTTCTGGTTAGTGGCTGACCTGCTCTGCCACCTGAGCTACAGCCACCCCAACACCCAATGCAACAAGAGGACTTCGAACAGGAAAAACACCACTCACTACTTTTAATCTTAATATAAAAGTATTAGTATTGAATATAATAAACACAGAATTCACCATATCATAAAAATATGTTCCTCTGCAAAAGGAAACAAAGCCATGTTCATTTTGGAGTTTTTGTTTGGTGTGGCAGATAGTTGCTCCTCCCTGAGCCTGGCTCTGCCAGAGGTTTCTTCCTGTTAAAAGGGAGTTTGTCCTTCCCACTGTTGCTTGCTCGCAGGGGCCCATCTAATTGTTGGGGTTTTCTCTATTACTGTAGGGTCTTTACCCTAAATATAGTGCCTGTAGGTGACTGCTGTTGTGGTTTGGTGCTATATAAATAAAACCAAATTGAACAGAATTGAAATAATATGTGGTGACTTTTCTTGGTTAATGTTAGAACAACATGTTGGCAGCTTTTTACAGTGTATATTTTAAATTTACCTGACTTGTTATCAGTAAAATACTTTTGTAACTCATTTTGTAACTTAAACGCATTAATCACTATCTATCAAATAAACCAAATATATTTTTCTCCATCATATCATACATGAAAATTTTAGCTGTTGTATTTGTTACCATCTAGAAGGGCAAAAATAAAAGAAATAATTTTTTCCATTTTATTCCAGCTAAGTGCGGTGCCAGGATTCCAATTTTGATTGGGACAGAGCAGTTTGGGCTTAGCAGGTAATTACAAAGTTAATATTTTATTAATACCAGTTATCTGTGCGTACATACGGGTGTGTAAGTTAAGAAAACAGTACTTGATCTATCATTATTTTTGGTGTGGGTTGTGAAGACCAGCACAAGTTATCCTTTCACTTAAACACCAAAGTGCAATTAAAAAATAGATGAAAGTGACTGAGAGAAAGAGGCTGTTGGGTGAGCTACATTAACTCTATCAGCAAAGAGAGAGAGAGAGCAGAGCACTCTGCTGTAAATTCATAAATGTATCTCAATAGAAACTACCTATGCTTTCAAGGAGAAAAATAAAACAGGCAGAGATTTTCAGCTCTAACTCCCATCAATTCTCTGGGTTTTTTTCTTTTTCACCAGAAAATGTTTGCTGCATTCAGTGACTTCATTCTAACTCTAACAGGAAGGGGAAAAAAGAAATTCTGTGAAAAAGCCTAATTCATTTTTTTTTTTACCTCATCTAGAACCTCAAGGGTGGCGAGGTCATCCACCTCGTCTGCGTCCTGTGTCTTCATGTGGCTTCCTTTTTTGGTATGAATACGCTCATGCCTGGAACACAACAATGACATCTCTTAGTGAGCATGCTCTGAAAAAATGAATGTTAAATTTTGCAGATTCTTCTAGAACTGCAAGCCCCGCTACTTTGCAGAGGAGCTTTTACTGGGACGCACTGGTCTGACTATGACTCTAACCTCAGGGACGCGTCTCTATTCAAGCATCTTCTATTTTCATCAAGGAAAGAGTAGACACAGAGAGGGATAAAATAAAACAAAAATAGTCCCACAGGGAGGATAAACTTCAGAAGTGGGTGACTTAAGTTTAGTAAACATATATTTTCTAGTTAAGTAAATGTGTCTTTCAAGAGATTAAATCTGCACAAGGGAATAAAATAATCCCACAAGATTCCAATTACCCATTGTAGGAATTGCAACATCATCTTATTACCACAAGTCAGTTCATTTACTGACAAGTGATATCAGGAAACCAGCAAATTTAGTGATGAACATAATTTACTGAACAAGCTTTTAGCTTTATTGTTATTTAACTTTTAGAAAGACAACATGACTCTTATGTTTCCTTATACTTACGTGTTGTTGATGGGGTTCAAGTAATTTTGTAATTTGGGGGTTTGTATGCATAACGTTCATTCCATGTCAGCTGACCACATGCTTCCAGCCTGACCATACCAGATATCCTTAAATAATTCCAAGATGATCCACTTTTAATAGGAAAACTGTCACATTTTAGCTTTCTGTGCCATTTTCAAAGAGCTATAGAACTACCTAAGCTAGGTCGCTCAAATGTTCATGTCAAATATTAGTTACTATATTATGATTTCAACAACATACAGTTTTAAGAGTGTAGCTGAAGGCTGTGGATGCTGTCTGTAAACAAAAATATCAATATGAAAATAATCATTTTGGGGAAAGTGAGGCAGAACACATCATGATGTTACTGTCAGACACCAACTCTTTTAAGAAAAGTTGGTTGTTACTTCATGTGCATGAATTAGTTGTCCTCTATTTTCAAGCTCTAACATTTTTTCATGGTATGAAGTACACCTCATTTATGGGATATGGCCTTTCTACAGGTTAAGCTGCTCAGGTGGTAAAGCAGGTCATCTATAAATCGGAAGGTCAGAGGCTCAATCCCTTAAAACGTTCCAGGGTCAAGTTCCAGGAATCCTATTTCACTGTGTCTCTACTGAAGCATCATTTATCTGATAGGTAATGCTGAACACAAGTGAGCTTTTAAGCTCCTGTAGTTGATTTACAGTAAATATCATAACCACTGACAGCATCAAATGACATTACAGTATTATAAATGAAAACTCATAAAACAGAACAAACAGTGACAATAACATGATTTGAACATTAAAACAGACAACGATGTAAGAAGGGCAGGGTGGCAGTTGATGGCAAATACGTGTGCAATCACAACTACAACAAGAGCTTTGACTGAATTATAAAAGCTCCTACTGCGTCACAAAAGCATCCTCTATAGTTACCTGTCATTACTGTCTGAGCTTCTGTCTGTCTTTCCATGATGGCTTAAATGACAGAAACGGGATCGACATGTTATCACTGTACAGGGAGAAACTCACTTTAAAGGGCAACATTTTAACTCATGCTAAGGAGCCTACAGCTCAAGTGCAGCCGGTGCAGGATTGACCTGTTTTTTGTGTGAGGATGACAGGGCTTGTAAAACATCCAGCAAGTAGGGTAATTTGGATTATACTGTCGGCAAAAGCTAAGCAACAGCCTAGCATATAACAACCGCTGACAGGAAGAGCGTTATATTTTAAGTTTTTCATGGGCTTTGTATCAAAATCGATCAAACACTTTACGGTGCGGGAGTATTTGGCTCATACAGTGAGATATCGGGACAAAAACATAGAGACAAAAGCCATAAGGACACAATACCTTGTTTTTTCAATCACTCCAATTTGCTGGTTGAGATCAATGAGCTCAATCAATTGTTTTTGCAGGATTTTCTCTCTGCCGACAGTCTGTTTGATGAACACATGCTGGAGCAGGTCTTGCACATTCGGTCTCAGCTCAAAGTCCTTAATCAGACATCTGTGTGGTGGGAGAACGAGCATGAGGCAGAAAGAGGAGTGCAGTGCATTTCTCAGATTCATATTCAAAGCAGCGGGATATCTGTGTAAATATTTATTATTCACACAGGAAGGATAAACACTAGAAGCCACACTCACTTGCAGATGAAGTCATTAAACTCATCTGACCAGAGCTCCGGCTGGTGGAGAGTAGGCGGCGGGTTTCTGTTACGGGAAGAAATGGAAAAGATAAATGGAAAGATAAGATGAGATAGGATTTAAGCGGGCAGGGCGGAGAACAGAAGGCTGGGATGATTCGTCACTGAGGGCATCCAGAGGTGTTTCTCTGGTGGCAAAAAGTGGTAGCTTTCAGCCATCAGAGCAGTGCAGCTGGAAACTTGTGTATAGACTCAAACCAGAACTTCTTAAATACTTTACCCTGAAAACATACACACATTGTTGTGGGGTTAAACTTAACAAGGCCTCACAGCAGAAAAACAACTCGGCTAATTGGATTCCCTGTTCGGCTTTAAGTACCTCTTTACGAGAGGGTTCCAGGTACTCGGCAGCGAAGTCACTGCTGCCTGTTAATGCATGGAGGCCTTTCGCACATTGGCTCTGACAGCAAATAATTGGTCTAATGAGAGGACATTCGTCTCCTTTTTATCACACAACACAACCAATATAGACAGGAAATGCATCAGGCCTTTATTTTCAGGCTGTTCAGCTAATACTGTGATCATTAAAGTGTTTTTCTTATCCGAAAGACAAAGAGAGCCCTGCAGAGATAACTTGGGGTAGTTGCATTGGGCTACCTGAATAATAAAGCTACTTTTTAAAGCACTATAAAGGCTGCAAGGACTTGGACTGTTTTAAATATAATTTCTTGTTTGTACCCCAGTTCGCTAAAGCAATTTGTTCAGTTTCGCCTGCCAAAAGTTCACTTAGTAAAGTATTGGAGGCAAGTTTAAATCCTCTCTGTTACACATAATGAAAATGAAAGCTTAGCTATTAACACCTGAGCACAATTATAATAGCACTTTAAATCTTTTATCCGCTCCAGAGACCGAAGCTTTGAGCACAGATTTGGCTTCCATACATATACTGTTGTCTTAGTCCTTCTCTGCAGTCCTCATTTTCTCTTCTTATTTAAATTCAAGGTTCAAGGTTCAAGGTGACGAATAAAGAACCTTGAAATATAAGGCAATGAGGAAACAACACAAAAGACTACTGGACTTGTTCCTCTGTATGTTTACTCTTTATCTTTTTGGATTCAGCTCCATATGTTGAAATATGATACAATGTTTCCATTGCACACTCCTTTCGGTGTAGACCTATGTTTTTTCATAATCCATGATACATTGGCAAAATATAACAATCATGTTGAAAATAACGGTAATCCATCAGTACGTAATGAAAGTAATCTGGTCCGTAGGAGGACTTAAAGTTAGATAAATACAACCACATATGAAGAGCAACACATGACATATTACACTATTTACACAAAAGTGAAATCAAAATGCAGAAACCTTGTGTGTGCTAAGTACAGCCTTCCATAGGAATAAATAGGAAACGTATCAGCCAGGTGCTGCTTATCAAATGCACTTAGTTAAATGATCATCAGCAAGTCTGATCTTCTCTATGAAAGCAGAAGATTTGTTAGTTTGCAGGTCTGGAGGATTCAGGTCTGTGTTAACACAATACCAAGGAGGAAAGAAACAAGTACTTCTGCGCATCAATTCAACACAGTTACCAACCTTCCTAAATGGGAACAACCTTCCTAGAACAATGTTCTTGGACAGACAGGACCAATGTGGAGATGTTTCACAGCTCCACATTTGGCAAAACACAAACACAGCATAACTGTCAAGCACGGTGGTGGAGGGGTGATGGGCTGATTTGCACCTTGCAGCCGTTGAGTCAACCATGTATACCAACTGCTTTGTTTACCAAAGCAATCTAGAGTTAAAATTTGCGTCTTCTTAAGTGTGTTGGCTGCAGAGCTGAGCTGCGACTTACCTCGAAGGTGAAAATTCTCCATTTCTGGTTTGTGTTTGGTTTGCGAGAGTTTTTAGACAAGTAAGCGCCTTCCATACAAACCATAGGGAGCTGCAGCAACCGTAGTAAACACAAGGAGGTTTTTGATGCAGTGCCAGCTTTGCAATCCATTTCACTCAGCAACAGCCAGCAATCTTCAAGAAACAACTTGCCAACCAGCAGGTTTTATGCAATTTCCTTCACAACTGTTGGTTGCATCACATCCAATATGGCAGACAATTCTCAAGAAACGTCAATAGAGAAACGGCATGGGCTTGTATGGCATCACTGTATATAAAATACATTATAGTATTATATGTTTGCATGCATTGTGTCAAGCTCTTGTGTGCCTCAATTAGTAGGTAAAACTGTACTGATAAAAATAACCATACTAGTTATTGATAGAAAAATCAGGATTATAACAATCATAATAAAAATGAGGAATGGCTTCGGTGGTCTGCTGTTTAGGGGGGAGGGCAAATGTGTACTAAATAAGAGAGAGTGGATGAACTAATGCCCTCAGCGTGGCTTTTTCCAAGACTGCTTGACAAATGAAGCCAGAGTAGTGAGCGGAGGGAAGTGAGGAGTGTGAAGAGGGAGCCTGGAGCTCTGGCTGCAGCAGTCACATAGATTGTGAGAAAGCTGTGTGATGGCTCCGTTGGAGCACGACCCCCAGAGCAAACACACAGGACAGCCGTGACACAGCAGCAGTCTGTGTGTGTAGGCGTGTGCGTGTTTCAGGGCAGTGATAGACAAAGAGCTGTGCTGTGATGGTTAAATGCTCTCACACTGAAATCAGGTGAAGATAAACAATTAGAAAATCAGCTTCAGCTCACAGTAGAAACAAAGAGAAAGAGGGGCTGTGCCCGCAGCCTCCTCCCAGCAGGATCATTGGGATGAGTGCCAGGGAGGGAGTATGTAATGGATAAAGCCCTGCAAGCAGAAAAAAGCCATTTGAACTAAAAAGACTGTACTTAGTGTGGTGACAGTCTGTATAGAGGCAGAAATCACTACGTTGGAAGTAGGAGAGGACTTTTCTTTATTGCAGTACAAGCGCTATACATTATGCTATCTTTACAAGCCGAGGAGTCAGATAATGAAAACATGCCCAGTCTTGTGAGATGGTCCGTATCAGGGTAGTGAAGAAAATATCATCTTATTTTACTTCTGCCTGGGGTGAGCTGTATCTTAAGGCAAAGGCTATTTGCATGCATGGTTCCAGCTTTAAAAATGGAAGCAGAGTGGTTATAATTTTGTAGTTTCTGATTAAATTTTATCTTTATTTTCTTTCAGAGTGTATTTGACGGTTTTCGTTTAGTTACTTTAGTTTTTATGACTATTTTAGGTTCTAAAACCTACAGAATATAATATCCATAAACTCATATTGAGTACTATCTATGTATTTACTGATATAGACTGAAAGCTTAATACTGTTCATGCCTGTATTCGCATTTTCAATGAGCTGTGTTTTCTCAGCCCATAAACTGTAATTAAAAAGTCATGAAAAGTGTTTCAGAGGACAAAACAAGAAAAGAAAAGAAAAGAAAAGAAAAGATGCACAACAGGGTCAAATTAAAAGGGTAGTCATTATTTTATCACTCTGACAAAGTCAGTACTCAGCTCTATCAAATCCAGGGATGGCAAAACAGCATAATAATAGCTTTAATCTGTAATAGCACCTTTCAAGATATCAAAAATGTAAAAGCACATTACATAAACAAAATGCGAACACAGTACAAATAAAATTAAGTAAATTATTTCTATGAGAACTTAATCATGTGCAGGAAAGCTGTCATTAGGCTTGAAGCAGAGTCCAGTTCGATAAAAAATAAAATATGTCTTATTGACAATCAATCTCATTTTTGAAGAGAGCACAACATGTTTTTGGTTTATTTGCAACCTTCAGCTCAAATTTGTCATAAGAACAAAATCATTTAAATTCATTCAGCACAGCAGAATATGATGCAATTATGGCAGGTTTACCTGGGTATTTTAAAAAGGGCTCTCATTGGGTGAAGGTCAGAGAGGGGCGGGTCTCCATCTCCTAGCTCTATAGCTGTGATGCCCAGGGACCAGACATCACAACGGGCGTCGTAGGTGGAGTCCAACTGCTGCTCACATGCTATTACCTGCAGGGATGATGAAATAAAGAACATATAACAGGTGGTCTAATGTCTGATTACAGATATCATGAGTAAAGCAATTAAATCAGGGTCTGCTTCCTTCTTTGAAAGTCAGTATTTAAGTTTTTTTAATTTCTTCTTGTGGCTCTACACAAACAAATGTGAAAGAATATAAAATGTCATTAAAAAGTTGTGCACTAACAACAAAGGAACTAAACAAACTGCAGCAGCTCAGCCAAAACAACTTCGTCATTATCATTGGCTGTGAGCAGAACACACCCTCGCCCACGCGCACACACACGCGCGCACACACACACACACACACACACACACACACACACACACACACACACACACACACACACACACACACAGTCCATCATCACTGTCCTGCGGGCAGTATGGCACTCAATCAGCAGTATGAATCATTCAAGATTCATATTGTTATTACCACACACTCACATATAATACACACATTTAACAGTAATCAGTAATTTGTTTTTCTAGTTCTGAACAGGCAGAGTCTAATGCATGCAAACCAGACAAATCATTACCAGATAACCAATAAGACACACACTCCACAAAACCCCAAGACTTTCATTATTCTGTCATGTTGCTGGCAAACACACTTAATGAAAACTAAAAGAAATCAATGTTAAATCTGTCCTCAAGGAGACTAATTTGCAAAGACATGACAAACTGACTTTTAAACAGCAAAATTATTTCCAACCAACACACAAATATAGACACATAACGCGGCCAAAATCACAACTCGACAGCGACAACCAAACACAATTATTCTGGAAAAGAAAGCTCATCTACATAACATTGTGTATAACACAGTGCGGAAAAGATGCAGCTCACCTCCAAGCAAATCCTCTTTAGAAGTAGACTTTATATAAAGCCAGCGCTGTATATTGTCCCCAAAGTGTATATTTAGAAAGAAGAAACCTCCGCTCTGTCAAGTGCTTCTTGTCTACTCAGTCCACTCAGGTAAATGTCCTTTCTTAGACCTTTGTGAATAAATGTCTTAAACAAATAAGATTAAAATCCTTGAGCCTTAACGACACCACGTCATGCAGCACCCTGCATTTGCACGGCATGCAAACTTCATGTAAAAGCTATTTTGATTTAACAAGTGAACATGCAAGTTGATCTGGGGTGATCATGTATGCTGAGTATAAGTTTACCCATCTCATCCCCACGAATTCCACTAATGACTCATCTAATCTTGATCAGTGTTGAGGTTAAGCGTGCAAATGGGTGGTTAACAGATTCCTCTACTTGTTGAGGGTTTCCAAAAGTGTTTGCTTCAAGTTCAATGAAAAATAAATGAATGGTGTCTGACTGAGAGGCTAAAAGTGCATCTCCTAACATTCAGGTTATCTCTGTTTTCTGCTATGCCGTTGCTCCACTAGGGGTTGCCGAGCCTTTTTCACGATGAATCAATTCACTGCACAGTCCAAACGTCATCTGAAGTTTGTTTTCCAACATTACGCAATCTGTTTTGCTCTGCAGTGTGTTTTGTTTGTTGTCCCTGTTTCATTCTAAGATCCATTTAAATGTCTTACTCCTTAAAAACCTACTGGGGTGGCTGGCAGTTGCTCAGTAAAATTGGTTGCTATATTTGGTAAACTGAGACCTCCTTGTGATTGCTTTGGTCGTTAGCAGATTGTTGTGGTTGCCTGTGGTTTGCATGCTAAGTTCTGACTTGTCTGCAAACACTTGCCAACTATTTGCTGAGCAGTAGTGAAACAGCAAAGACTGCAGCACAAACTGAAAATGGAGACAGTTTTGCACATTATGAAATGTGTTAAATCGTACTGATCCATTAAAGGAACTAAGCTTGAATTTCATGACAGCAGTGGATTGTTTCAGGAGCCGATTCCCCGTATGGTGAAGTCTCGACAGGAATGTCATTCTCACTGAAGCCTTTGGAAGTATGATGGGGTGTTTTGCATCTATAAAAGACTTATGGACAGCCTGGCTGCTTGTTAATAATGCAGAGACACACTGTGTTCCCTTATCTGGAGAGCCAATTCGGAGGGGGAGTATGAAAGTCAAAATATACAGGAGACAAGACCAAATATGCTGGAACATGTGTGTTCACCTGCTCTCCTTGATATTAAGGGATGTTTAGAGCCTGACAAGTATAGGAATTTCAGGACCAATAATATTCCAGTATGTCAGCTGATTCCTACTGTTATTTTAGACACATGATTTTCTGACTGCGTGTTAGTAGTATCTCTAGTTATTTATTATTTATTACTCAGATCAGCAGGTTGTTGCTTTTCTGGTGCTCCAACCATGGTGCCATCAGGGACGTTCCAAAGTGGCCTCTGTTGAATAAACTGTGCAGCATCAACATTCTTAACACGGTAATGAGCACCTCTTCTTCGCTTTTTAAATTTTCATTAAGTTATGAATTATCTAAAAAGAATTACAATATTTTCTCAGTCAACTTAAAAGAAAAAATTAGATTATTTATTCTGAATTTTGACTTTTTACATTATTGAAAAACATTATTTTTTTATTCCATGCAAGTGACAACACTTGAGGCGGTTTAATGGACTTCACACTGATCCCTCTGGAGGCACAGAAGGTGTTTTTTTCAAATACGCAGTAGCACATCCTCAAGACCTGTAAACAGACTTTGATGTGCAAACTCTCACCTACCACCACTGAACTTCTAACTTGCAATATAAAGGAAGCACAGCTTCCAACGCTGTCAATAAACATTGACAGTAGTGGCCACAGATAACAGCATACAAAAACTGCAAAAACCCTAATGCATTACTGAAGCAAGAAAAACACTATCATATAGAAACAGCCTTTCAGTCAGTGTCAGAGAGTCGTTAAGAACCCCGAGCTGAGAGCCCAGCTCACAGCACAAAGTCACATTAACCTGCTATAAAAAGAATAAGGTTCAAACACATACGACTGGTATAAAACGCTCAATTTTTGTTGCAGCCACTTCTCTACACAAGCTATACATACTGTCAGTGCACTCAGCCATGATTATACAAGAGATGAACGATGGAGGCTGCCCATTTCACTTTTTCCATGCACATTGTATTTGACAGTGTTATCTCTTTGATGATTATTAACTGTGGTCCACTGGGATCTGCTCCAGGCTAATGTAGCAGAAAGAGACGAGGCTGCGGGAGCATTTATAGGCCACTTTTACCGTACCTCGGGAGCCATCCAGAAGGGGGTTCCCACTGAGGTGTTCCTCCTCAGACGGGTATTTGTCAGCTGGGCTGAAACGCCTGCAGGGTAGAAAACAAGACTCAGTGGAGACAATTCAAAATATCTCAATAATATGTTTTTATTTTTACAAAGATCACACTGGCAGGTAAAAGCGATGCTCTGTGAAAAGGGAAACAGTGCACAGTAAACAGCAGGACACGGCTCAAATGATAGAGAGCCCAACGGCTCTTGAAGCGTGCACTGATAGAGCTGTCGCTATAGTGACGAGGGAAAAAAACAATACACACGCATAAACATCTGCAGTGCTTTTTTTCTTTATCCAAATGATAGACTGCCATGAATTACAAATTCTTATTTGACTGCAAGCGATTTTGGCATTTCAAGAACAACATTTGAATACAATTCAACTGTGAGCACGATCTGGTGGCCGGAGACGTGTCACCTCCTCCCAGAACAAGACGCATCTGAGTGATTTATTGTCTGATGCTAGAGAGGCCCGAGTCACATTACAGCAGTCAAGTCAGAGGCAGATACGTTCAGCAGAAATGGGACTGCAGAGAGAAAAAGAGGACACGTGTGTCATTACGTGTGTGTGTGCTGTGTTAATGTGCCTGACAAGGAACATGCTGACCCACAATCGTGACTTCGGTCCAGTCCAGACAAATCAGTGTTACGCTACACTGTGATGTATCCCAGGGCGGGCTCTGCTGAAGCAGCCGGCCAGATCAAGAGCAGCGACCGGGACAAAAGCAAAGCCTCGAGACAAAAGCGGCAACCCACAAACAAAAGGTGATGTAGTGATGCACGACATGCTGCTGCAGAACCGCGTCTCTGTCTTCTACTTCATGGTTTTATATGAAGAATATGAGGCGCACAGATTCTGCAAAATGTGTTTTAGCAGCCAGACGTGCAACATAAAAGCTTTTAGGAAACGAAAGGGAAATTTGAGGAAATGTACCAACAAAACATCCAGATGGTGAACTGCATAAAAATCTGTTTAAAACATCAAAAGTGTGCAGACAGGCACAATCTCTAAGTAACAGAACAAAGCCATTTACACCACATGAATGTATTTCCAACCATGTCAGCAAATTTAGGCATGGTGATGATTCTGTGCATCCATTTAAATGCTGTCACTGTTGGAGCTTGGGGGTTAAATCCAGGGGTGGAGAGAAATGCCGGGATGAGCAGAGTAAAGGAAAATGGTTCTGTGGCAAACATCAAAAGGGATTATAATCATGTGCAGGGCGGGGAGATGTAGGCATAAGGCGAACATACACACAGGGACAGTCACATCGTGTCATAAAACCACAAACACACTAACATCACCCCACATTAGTGAGGACAAACTCAGAGTTTTACAGGGATTCATCCTTATACACAAACTTGTATGTGTTTGTTATGATATATAAGGCGTGTGAGGAATATCAGCGCATGAAAGTACAGGTACACAAAAAGCCCCCTATTAAAGCTCTCTCAACCCCTCTGTTTCCACTACATTAGCCCGGAGTGCAGCCTGGTGGGCCACACACTTAATAATCATCACAGAGATAATGCCGTCAATTAGAATATTCATGAGAGACCGATGAACGAGCAGCTCTCCTCATTCTTCTGCTGCTCTTTTTTGGGTCCGTCTTTTTTTTTGCTGTTCTGTTTCTCCGCCGGTGATGAGTCACTGCGGGGGCTTTATCTCTTCAGCTGCTCAGTGTAGCATGCGGCCCTCCACACGAAAAACCATTAATCCCAGCGTGACGCAGTACCCGTGGAAGCTCGAGTCGGACCCCCCCCCAACCCCGCCATTTTCGTCACTCTGCGAGTTTGTTTCTCCTCCTTCGTGACGTCACAAACCTCATTCAAATCTCAGCTGTCAGCAGCGTACAAGCTGGCAAGCGGGACGTCACAAAAGAAGTTGGAGCTACTTTTATAAATGAGATTCAACCCGGGTGCCTGCATACTCTTCGAATCCAGCCTGTTGTCATTGCACTGAAACATTTCACAGTGACCTTGCAGCTTGTTGTAATTGAAATGGAAACTAATCAAATAATCCTGTTTTTAATTATCCGAAGAACAGAAGAAATAAATGAAAATGCTTTTTTAAGGTCTTTTTGCAAAAACTGCCTGACCTCAGTTCATGTTGGTAAGAATGGGAGACAAAGCTGGCGATGCACCTGCTCTTATACTCTACGTTACTTGAAACGGCATGAGCATGCAAAACAGGAAATAATTGCAAAAGCAATTATTTCTTCATGGCCATGAACAGAAACTGTTGCGCTTTGTCATGACAGTCAGCATGAATTCCTGACTATTTTCACAGGAAGTCCGTTTTGTGTTTGCAGCACGTACGATTGAAATCAAGAAACCAGAGTATTTTTTATGTATTTTAACCCAAGCCACAAAGATTTTTCTCATCTTGACCACAGTGTTTAATGCTCAACGCTATGAAAGTAATAAAATATTAAAAAAAATAATACAAAGAATGTGTGATGTTTATGATGTTAACTTAAACCTCTAGTGTGTTCAGCAAAATGAGTCACTCCACCAGCAACCCCTCCACTCTCGAAATATACACATTCTTTTCCTTTTCAAAAGTGAAAAATATTCTTTTTGAGTACATGGGCATGAATCAATACATATGACATCATATTGGACCAGACAAATGAAAACATCCTGTTCAAAAGCACAAATCAGTAGATTACAGGCTGTACTGGAGTATGTATGGAGTATATATATGTATAAATTGCAAAACTGATGAGGCCAGAAGAAACTAACCACAGCACACGCAACGTGTTACCAAGAACGTGTCAAGTCAACAAAGGTTAGCAATGAAAAGCCTAACCCAGAGTGAAGATCAAGCAGCGACAAAGCATGAAGTGTGATTTACAGGAGAGCTTGTAGTGGAGGACATGCTGCTGCTTGAATAGTATGTAGGCCTGCGTGGTGTCATGATATTATGGGAGATAAGGGTTTTTGCTGTAAAAGCAGATGTGTGAACCAGTAAACAAAGACTTTTCACCACAAACCACATTCGCCGTTCACACACATTCATGTGGCTCTTGATTCTGGGACTTTAAGCCCTTCCTTACTACCACACACACACTTCAGCATGTAGATTAGAGGACCAGGAGACTGACAGCTGTCTTTAAAATTGATAGACAAAATTAGGAATACAGTGGTGTCCCTAGTTACAACTTTAAAAGTAAATGGACCTTTTAATTTAGACTAATCTAGTGGACTAAAATGAACAACATTTGTTTTTTTGGTCTTATTTATTTTCCATACATATCCTATGAATCTCTGTGCTGGCAGCACTCAAACCTAACAATTCCTGTAATGCATACAGCTTGTTTTACTTGAATGTGCTGCCTATGATGTGAACACTTCATAGAATAATAAGAGAAAACTTGAAAGCAGACAGTTTTTTTAATCTGGCAAAAATATAAAAACTTAAAAACTATAAAAACGAATTATTATTTATGGTGCAAGCGGGGCAAAGTTTAATTATTGGGTAAACCCTGCTATTTACAGTGACCCTGACTTCCAACTAAGCTTTTCATTTTTTAGTTTTGTGGTTTTGAATACATATGTTAAAAGGGAGTTTTTGCTTGCCACTGTCACCAAGTGCTTGCTCAAACAGGATCGTCTGATTGTTGCCGTTTTCTCTGTATTATTGTAGGATCTTTACCTTACAATATGAAGCAGCTTGAGGTGCACAAAAATAAAACTGAATTGAATTGAAAGTTACAGGACAAATGACCGATTTGATCTGCTAGGGAATTAAAATAGATAAGACTTCAACCAGTGGGAACCATCCAGTAGATGTCGAGAGATTTCTGTCAGGAAAATCTGTGGCTCTTCTTCCTTTAAACCCACACTTCAATATAAACTTTATTTCCTCTTATAATACAGCTTCTTTTAACATCTTCCCTAAACTGATCCACATGCATTACTTCTAACCAGCAGCCACAAATATGGTGCGAACAGATAACAGTCATGCACAGCGGCAAATATTTATTCATAGAAGATAAGCTGATCAGCGGTGCCACTGCTTTCTTATACCTTAAAGTGAATGCAGCAACAATTTACTGATGATAACGTGTCCCAACATTAAACATAATTACTTCCTGTGAGAGTTACATGAGCTTAGCACTAAACACGGTGAATTGAAACTGGCTCTCTGGTCTAACCAACAATGTTTGTATGTAATAAATTATTTTCAGAGATACGATATCCTTCCTATCTTGGACATTCATTACAGGTTGAGCCAGAGAAACATCAAACACTTGATAAGATGTTCTTATTGTAAATAAGCAAGAGATGATATATCGCAGAAATAATGGCTGGATGCTGTTGGAGATGCCAGGATTGCAATAACCTGATTAATAGCTTCAGACAATTTGTGTGATATCGTCTGTGAGTGTTTATAGCATTTTAATTTAAATCAGAGTGAGGCAAAAGTTGCATAGACAGATACCATCTAGAACTGATTCTTTGCTAAGTTCTCTTTCATGTGTAGACACAACACTGGTTCATCGCTTGAGTTAGGTGCTTTTTTATGCTTGAATGGTTCATAGGTCGGGCTTAAGTGGCTTAACACACAAAACAAAAACAAAAAAAATCCTCTGAAAATGGTCAAAGAAAATCTTTGAAAGACCTTCAGAGAGAGATGGGAGAACTATTTGTCAAGTACAGAATTAGAAGAAGGCCTTACTCCTTGGAAGCAAAATATAAAGACATGAGGGGTGACTCAAGACCTTTGCACAAGACTGAAACATTTTGTTTCACTTTAAAACTGAAACCAATAACAGGTTACTTTTTCTAGTCTATGAATACTCCAGCATTTCTAAGTGTTGAAGATGTGACAGCTGATTTTCAGTGTACACCAGCAAAAACTAACAAAGCAACATGTGTGGTCTCGGCCAAACCACCAGATCATACAGAATAATTTGAGAAATTACAAACTCATGGAGGATTGTTTGGTTCTTCTTTCAGCATAAATACTTTTAAATGAATTACACTAAACACAATTAATAAATTAAGTAGAAAGAGGTATTTAATGGGGGGTTTTAGCTGAATAAAGCAGTTTTCAAATGCAATAATAAGAGCCACTAGTACTGACGCCATAGTTTTGACCGATTACGAGGGATGTTTTTCTGCCATTCCGTTCAGATTATGTTGTATTTGTAACTGTTTTTAGTTTTTAAAGCGAATATGTTCTGTAAACACAAATAAAACACACAACACACAACTGTTAAAAGAATCCAAGAATTCCAGATCCTAGGATTCATCTCTTATCACCAGAAGCATTATCATATTTCTGTTTAATTATATGAATACTTATGTGATGCTTCTGGGTGCAGAGTTTGGACATCTCGATCTACTTCATCAGTAAACATCAAACAAACAAACAGGTGCTGAGAATCTCCATGACAGCAGCGCGAGGAGGAAGAAGCTACTCTGGCTCAGTATTAGCTACTTCCCATTCAAGTATCAAGTGATTCCATTAATACCTCCCCACCCTCTAGTTCTTCTTGTGTAAAAGCAGTGCACTTTGTGCTTCATTGTTAGGAGAGGGCTTTTAAGAGAAGCCCACAATTAGCAGGAGTAAATGCAAACCTACGCACAAATGGAGAGGGGGATTTTATTTGTAATGAAAACAGGCAGCTGGGGGTTTTTGGGGGAGGGTGAGTCATCTCCGGAAAGCCATCAGAATCAATTTGCCTATCCCGATCCTTGAGCCCAGGAACTACAGTGAGCCTCATTTGGTTAAGAAATTGCAGTGGGAGCAGCAGCAATGTTTGCAGCTGTTTGTGGCACAGTGGAAAAGTATAACCATCCACCACGTTGTTGGATTGTGTAAATGTAGTCCAGCCTCTCAGGGAAACTAATTGTTGTCACAGTTTATTTGTAAGACAGCTGAAGGTAATTGATTTCGTTAAATAGAGCTATAACATGTTCTTTGCTGATTAGAGGACAGGGATCCCAAAAATTTTTAAAAAGGCAAAAAGAGGCACATACCAAAGTCCACGAGCTTGATCCCTCCCTGCGTCGTCAATAGGATGTTGTTGCCTTTGACGTCACGGTGGATGGTCTTGTTGATGTGCAGGTGTTGGAGGCCCTGCGAAACAAAGAGGTTAACAGCTTCTTTTATCCTGATGAGCACCTGCCTGTAAAATCACCCCGTTTACTCTGGGGTACATCATAGTCACCCCCCTCCAATGCTTACCATGAGGGACTCGTGCAAGATGTAGGCAATAATGGATTCATCCATTCGGTCTCCTCTCTTCAGCATGCCCTTGGCCAGATCTGTCACAGAGCCACCATTGCAGAGCTG